TACTTGATCACAAACTCTTTATGACTTTAAAATGTTCCAGTAACCAGTACAACTGGTACAGGACCACTGTCACATGGGACCAGAAAACATCTGGCAGGGGGACTGTCTTCTGCACCAGTTGAGGTATCGGAACCATCATCAATGGTAGCTCCACTCAGAGTGTCTTACAGTAGTCCAGCCTAGATGTGAGCAATCAAGGCAAGATCTGACCTCTCTCTAAATGGGATGCAGCTGGCATGATTCAGATTCTACTCTTGGTCACATAGATGCAGCTGGCATCAAATTTCAGTCATTCCATGATGTAGAATAGTACAAAGGTAGCTCATTTGGGAATCCCAGGTTTACAAGAGCCAAGAGAAGATTTCAAAAACCCTGCATTGCATGCCAAAAGACAGATAATAACTCAAGGTGTTGCAACTAATTGTCACATAAGGGATTATTTAGCTAGCAACTATAGAGCACTTTTTATATTTTAAAGAAAGTGTCCAACAGCTTTTATTGTGATGAATATATTTCGCTGCGTTGAGCATAGAGAGAGTTCTTAAGCAGGGTGGCAAAGAAAAAGGAAATTTGTACATTTTCGATACCACTTATTTTATATTTATTTGCTGCTTTTTACAGCAAAGTGTCTTAAACTGACCCACAGGGGGGGAAATAACAAGAAACATTAAAGCCAAATGTCAAAACAGCAGTAATACAAGTACTCATTCATATGTAAAAAATCCTACCTATCCCCTTAAAAGATGAGCACAAAAGAGGCCACAGGTATAACTAGTTACCCACCGAATTAAGGGCCAAAATTTGGCTGACATCTAAAAGTAGACCATAATGGTGCCAGCTGTGCTTCCTTGGGGGAGAGCATTCCACAAGCGGGAAGCTACCATTGAAAAAGCCTGTACTTGTGTTGCCATCTTCTGCATCCCCTTGGACGAGAAACACAGAGAAGGGTCTCATATGATGAACAAGGTGTTTGGGTTGGTTCATGTAGGGAGAGGCGTTCCTGAGGTATTGGGGGTCCTGAGCCACATATTGCTTAATAGGTCAAAACTAGCACTTGGTTATGGACACTTACTGGTAGCCAGTACAGTTGTGTCAGGATGGGTGTTACATACTCAGTCCACCTGGCTGTTGAATTCTGCACCAAGAGCGGTTTCAAAGGCAGCCCCATGTATATAGTACATTGCCGTAATGTATACTGGAGTTTACCAGAATGTAGACAACAGAAGTCAGTTTATCTCTGTCCAGAATGCAATCTGCTCCACCAAGGCCAGTTGGGCATCAAGCAGCAGTAATGGATATAGAAGTACCCCCAGGCTATACACCTGCTCCTTCAGAGGGACTGTAACCCAATCCAGAGCAGGCCAAACCCCAGCCATTGATCTGAGGGAAACACCCGCTAACAGCACCTCAGCCTTATTCGATTACGTTTCAGTTTATTGGGTCTTATCCAGTCCATTACTGAGGCAAGACACCAGTCTAGCAGATTCACTGCCACGACTACATAGAATCGTAGAACTGTAAAGTTGGGAGGGATTCCAAGGGTCCAACCCCCTGAAATGCAGGAATCATAACCAAAGAGTCAGTGTGGTGTAGTGGTCAAGAGTGGTAATCTCGTAATCTGGGGAACCGGGTTCGCGTCTCTGCTCCTCCACATGTAGCTGCTGGGTGACCTTGGGCCAGTCACACGTCTTTGAAGTCTCTCAGCCCCACTCACCTCACAGAGTGTTTGTTGTGGGGGAGGAAGGGAAAGGAGAATGTTAGCCACTTTGAGACTCGTTCAGGTAGTGATAAAGCGGGATATCAAATCCAAACTCTTCTTCTAAAGAATCCCTGACCAATGGCCATCCAACATCTGCTAAAAAACCTTCAATGAAGGGGAGTCCATCACCTTCCGAGGGAGTCCATTCTGCTGTTGCATAGCTATTGCTGTCAAAAAGTTCTTTTTAACGTTTAGTTGGAATCTCCTTTCTTGTAATTTGATTCCACTGGTTTGGGTCCTACCCACCAGGGCAGTAGAAAACAAGCCTGCTCCATTTTCCATGTGACAGACCTTTAGATATTTGAAGATGGCTATCATATCACCTCTCAGTCTCCTCTTTTCCGGGGTAAACATACCCAACTCCTTCGACTGTTGCTCAAAAGTCTTGGTTTCCAGACCCTTCATTTTTGTTTCCAACCTCTGCACACTCTTTAGCTTGTCAATATTTTATCAATATATTATACAGTGGTACCTCGGGTTACATATGCTTCAGGTTACATACGCTTCAGGTTACAGACTCCGCTAACCCAGAAATAGTACCTCAGGTTAAGAACTTTGCTTCAGGATGAGAACAGAAATTGTGCTCTGGCGGCGCAACAGCAGCAGGAGGCCCCATTGGCTAAAGTGGTGCTTCAGGTTAAGAACAGTTTCAGGTTAAGAACGGACCTCTGGAACGAATTAAGTACTTAACCTGAGGTACCACTGTATTGTGGTGCCTAGAACTGGACACTGTACTCCAGGTGGGGTCTGACCAAGGTAGAATAAAGCAGTACTATTACTTCCCTTAATCTGGACACAATACGTCTGCAGCTGCGATAGAGCAATGTATCACCAGCACATTACTGAAAATGTACTCCAGAGCTCTGGGTGAGCCCATTCAGTATAGGAAAACCTAAACCTGCAGCACTGAGGACTGTAGGAGCTGAACAACACCCCACCCCCATCACCAGCCTCTGAAGATATCCATCCCCAATTGTATTGGAACGTGAAAAGTGGCACTGCCTACCCTAAATTTGGACAGTCACAAATAATGTGGTCAATGGTATAGAAAGCCACTGAGAGATCAAGGAACAGTAACAGAGACACACGCCGCCTGTCTCTCTTGACAAAGGTCTTTGTGACCAAGGTGGTTTCCATGCCCAAATCCTGATTGAAATAGATCTGGAAAGTTAGTCTTACACAAGAGAGCCTGGATCTGACCTGCAGCCATGCACTCAAGAACATTGCTCAAGAAACAAACATTGGCAACTGGTCACTAATTGGTCACTAAGGACCACCCCTTCTTGCATGGCCAAACAAGCTGCTGCCTCCTTGTTAGATTTTACCAGCCTTGAAGAACAAGAGCAAGAACAGAAATGGTCACCTGTGCTGATGCCAGCACCTTGTCCACATCCTCGTGCTTTACTAACAAACTCTGGATGGCTCTTGAGAATCACATGCTAAAATAGTGGAGTCAAGGTCTCAGCTGATTCAAGTGATTTTATCTTCAAATTGCTCTGCAAACAAATCACAGCAAGCCCCCACGGGTTTTAGCTCAGCTAGATTATCATTAGGATTTATTAAATTTGTATACTGCCCTTCATCTCAATATCCCAGGGCAGTTCACAACAGATAAATACAAAATGAGAATACAAAATACTTTACATACTAAATAAACAAAAGGAAAAACAAACCAATAACCCACAAACACATTGGAAACAAAGTAAGCTTTATATATTTACTGTATTTTTGGTTTCTATGGAAGCCGCCCAGAGTGGCTGGGGAGGCCCAGCCAGATGGGCGGGGTATAAATAATAAATTATTATTATTATTATTATTATTATTATTATTATTATTATTATTATTACCGCCTTCATATATACCGCCACTGAGTAAACTTGATAATGAGCACTCACTAGTTTTCTGTTGCATTCGCCTGAAGATTTTCTCCACTTGCATTTCTGGTGTATACCAAAGAAGCCAACAGGGTTCTATCAAGTGGCAGAGGGAACTCGGGGGATTGTGTCAGTGGCCCAGATCATCCATGTTTTCTACAGGCAACCAGGGCCAGTCATGTCAGCTGGAAAATCCTCCATAGGGTCTGGGAACTAATCGGATCCTTCAGTCTCCAAGGACATTCCCTGCCTCTGTGGAAGGGGAAAGCTGCTGAAAACCTAAAATGCAACAGGAAGTGATCTGATCTGGACAACGGACTGGATCACTCTCCGATCACCCTATTTCTGCTCAGTTGATGAAATCAGATGTATAGGCTATGGCCTGCTACATGTGTGAGGCCAATGGCCTGTTGAGACAGTGCCATGGTTGTCATGGCAGCCATGAATTCCTGAGCTGCCCCAGATTTAATGGCCTCAACATGGATGCCAAAGTCCCCCAGAACCAACAATCTGCGTCTCCTCAACACCATATCTATGGTTTTAATTTTTTGATTGTTTTAATGGCTTTTACTTATAATTTATTGTTTTATTATGTTGGTTAACTGCTTCAAGGTTTTTTTTACAATCAAGTGGTATATAAATTTTATGACAGATGTAATGGCAAACTGTGGTTAGTTTACAAATGAAAGCAAATGTTTCTATATCCCTTGAGGTTGAGCAGGGGAAGGGAGAGTACATGGGCCTTGGGCTTGTCCAAGTTATTTTCCATATTGCTAATCTTTGGCTTAGGCATACTTTCAAACTCTCTCTTTGCATATTGTAAGATGGTTAATTAATATAATGCAACTAATTTTTTTACTAATTCCTGACCTGTTATTGGAGAAGATAACAATAGGTATTTTCATTGTTTACTTTTTATCTTCTATGATTAGGCAATATCTAGTATGAAAATTCAAAAAAATCATTCACATATTCGCGGTCAGATATTTCTCTTCCAAAACATACAGAGCTACCTTATATTGAGTCAAATAATTGGGCCATCTGCCCCACTAATGTGGCAGTGGCTCTTAGGGAGAGGTCTTTCCCAGCCTTGATGTCCTTTTAAGTGGCGAACCAGAGTTTGAACCTAGAATCTTCAGCATGCAAAATATGTGCTTATCTACTAAGCTTCCTCCCACCCCAATCCCTAGGCAATGTGTTTTTGCATCATGCTCTATTTTGAAAAAAAATAATAATCATAGAACTTGGGAGGGACCACAAGACTTGTTGGCTTCTGAAGACAATTGTATAGGCATGAGCCAGAGAACAAAAATAACCCAGTGATGCTGTGGTCTCCACTATTGTGACAACTGTTTTTTTGTCCATAGTTCAGCAATCGGCAAGCACTGGGAGGCAGAACTTGCAACACTCAAGGGTAACAATGCCAAGCTTACAGCAGCTCTGCTCGAGTCCACTGCCAACGTGAAACAATGGAAACAACAGCTTGCTGCATATCAAGAGGAAGCAGAACGTCTACATAAGCGAGTAAGTTTAAAGCTTTTGACTACATATTGTTAGTGGATCTGCATGTTATGAACTAAGAAAAAGGTGAAGTAAAAATCTTCTGGTCATCTGACAATTAATAGCATTCATGCAAGCTGAGCTTTATTTTCTCTTCTGATGAAATATAAAGTTTTCATGTAATAAATTCTCCCATAGTAATAAATTGTATGTTATTGTATTATATAGTTTGAGTTTTATCTAACAAATCATATAAATATGTATTACTAAGTGATGTCTATAGCTCTGGGTCAGACGTATAAGATTAATTTAGTGTACTTGGACTTGCCTGCATGTGAGTCACTTTAAACAATAGCTAAGCATTATTTTGGTTTAAAGGTGAATGTGCAGTGTACTGGTGCATGGGGCTAAAATCGTGGGCAAATTTGCTTCTCTTCTTCTCATGCTGCTGCTTCAGTGCTGGAAGCTAAACCATGGTTTGGTTTGGTTTAGTGTTAGGTCTCAACCTGGGCTCATGGTTTTTCTTTCTCCAAACAAACCATGAGCTGCAACCTACTGTAGGTTTGCTTTTGTGAGCTTGTGCCCATTAAGATAACTGAAACCAGTGCAAAATAGCTGGAAAATAAATTCTGTATTCATGGAGAAGTGCAGGGGCAAACTATCTCAGTCCAGATATATGGCAGGCACGGTGTCATTTTGTCTGTGTATATTTATGTGCCTTGTGAAATGGTAGCAAGCACAATTTTTTTCACTTTATATACTGCATTGATTCATATTCAACTGAGCACTAATTCGATAAACTCATAATGTAGACAACTGTAGATATTCAAAATGATCTGCTCTCTTTTTCATCTCCTGTTGTTTCATTTATCCTCTAGTTTGTACATTCTTCCCACTCTAAACTATATTCTCTCTTTAGGTTTGTTAATAAGATAAACTAAGGCAAGTTAAGTAACTGCATGAATTAAGATTCTGTAAGGGTGAAGGCATATGTAACATTTTTAGAAGAGCATTTGCCCAGGAAGGACATTCACCACATTCAGTTCAAACATACCTTGTTGACCTCTGGAGGGAAATAGCTCTGCAAGGATAAAGTAGAAGCCTGCAATGTACTCTTCTGCCCAGCTGTTCCTCTTGGTGTCATCCAGAAGCAAATACTCCTAGAGAAGTTTTGTGCTTTTGAATTATTTTCCATCTTCAATTTATGAGTTGACAAGTGAGCAGATTAAAATAAAAATAAAAAGTGGATAGCCATCTGAAGTATGGGAGGGAAGGTCAAGAATGTTGGCTGAGCTCATGCATGATTTGTTGGTATGTGTGTCTGTCATTTGAGCTAGATCTGGAAGGAAGCCCATCTTGCATTGCTGTTAGAAACACCCTTGGTCCTGTTTTGTTATATCAAGTTTTATTAAATGTGTTGGAATTTTGGGTGGGTGATGGTTGTAGACAAAAGGGAGCTGTATTTTGTATGCAAATCTGTTAAAGCCCAACATCACTGGATGCAAAAGATTTTTCTATGCATATCCCATTCTCCAGGGAGGATCACTGCAAAGTATTTATCCCAGCATGCCACTGTGATAAGAACCTTTCAGAGGATAAAGGATGGAAGTTCTGAAACTGTCTAAGGGGCAAACTACATATCATATGCAAATGTTTGTAACAAATCCCTGACAGCTGCATTTCTGAATAAAAGTGGGTTGGGAGGGGCATATCTTCAGCAGAAAAGTGGGGAAAGGCTTTTAACCCTTTCCCTGACAGCTAGTTTCTCATACAAGGAAATACAGTGGTACCTCGGGTTACAGATGCTTCAGGTTACAGACGCTTCAGGTTACAGACTCCAGAAATAGTACCTCGGGTTAAGAACTTTGCTTCAGGATGAGAACAGAAATCGTGCTCCGGTGGCGCGGCAGCAATGGGAGGCCCCATTAGCTAAAGTGGTGCTTCAGGTTAAGAACAGTTTCAGGTTAAGAACGGACCTCCAGAACGAATTAAGTTCTTAACCTGAGGTACTACTGTAGATACTTGCATCCTGATGGTAATCAGGATGGTAATCAGCTAGGATAATTTGGAAAAGAAAAGTCTGTCTGTTGGGAAAAGGCTTAAGCGCCTGCTCCCTATCTAATGCTTCGCTGCTCAAAATGGTTCTCTCCCAAAGCCTATTTTCTTCAGAAAAAGTGGCTGGAGGAGCAACATTCACATGTGGTTCTTTTTGTCTCTAAAAGAATGTAGTCTTGTTCACACTTGTTTCACTAAAATCCATCCAAGCAAGATATTTCAGTAAGTTTCAATACTGTTTTTTGTATGGACACAAATTGCTGACAAGCAATATTGCTGAAAGGCCTATAGCCTTCACAATATTTAGTTGTTAACCCTTGATCCATCCACTTTTCTGGGAGCAGCAGACTTCAAAGCTGTACGGATGATTGAAACAGGTACATCAAGAGCCTCCATAATATTAATATAAATAAAAACTTCAGAATATTTGACAGGTACAGTAAGCACTTTGTGGCCGCTGTAGGTCAAGTCAAGTCGAGTAACCTTTATTGGCATCACATAAGAACATTCGCTACTGTAGGTGTGGGAGCGTCTCTCATTCACCATGAAGAAACTACACTGTCCAATTCACTCCAGATGTTTTAAAGCATGTTCATGTGCCTATAAATACAATTTAAACTTAAAGAAATAAGAAAATGTGTATTTTGCAAAAGCTGGATTTGCATGTGATACCTCCTTGCCACATTGTTTTCTATAGTTGTCTTTCCTTCCTTTCCTAGTATAGTTTCTCCTTTGTTTTGTGAAATTATTGACTTAAGTTATAATAACAGAGGGTTAGTTATGAAGTTGGCTGCATGTTTATGCTGAGAAATGTATATAAACGTGACCATAAATCACACCAGGGAAGGCTCCTGCAGTGTGCTGTCTTCTTTGGGCATTACTAAGCGTAGCTGACAGACACGGCCAAACTAATAAATCCAACTCTCCAAGGAAACCTATGACATGTTTGTATTTAAAAAAACAAATCAACTTCAATTTGTGATCACCTCAATAGCTGTAGAGGTGAAGCAAAACAGGGTAAAGTTGGGAAATCAATGTGCCTATTCCTGTAAAAGGCTGACCACATACTGTTTGTTTGTTTGTTTGTTTGTTTGTTTGTTTGTTTCCTTCCTTCCTTCCTTCCTTCCTTCCTTCCTTCCTTCCTTCCTTCCTTCCTTCCTTCCCGGGCTACTTCCAGCCTCAGCAATAGCAGGTTTTTCTGGCCCTCTCTCCCCCTGGCATAATTGGTCCTCAGGAATGTTTAGTAGGTGACAGGCAAGCCTTAGGCAGAGAGCACAGGTTTTGTGGCATTTTTTTCTTTCCTTTTCCATTTTGCCATAAAACTATGGCCCTTTACTGATATGCAGTGTAAACCTATCCATGTATATGCCAAAGGAAGTCATCATGTTTTCAGTAGTGCTTACATCCAGTTAAGTGTGCATAGGATTTCAACTTCAGTTTTCTTTGGCATCCTTCTGCCTGTGGAAGACTTTGATCCAGTGAAGGCTCTTGTCATCAGAATGCAGGGAGAAACAAAGTTTGCTGATTCCCCTCCTTCTGCACCAACACTGTTGCAAAGGGTCAGCTGGCCTCTGGAGCAGATTTTGCATAGCGATATCCTCAAAGGATGAGGGGGAAAGGTGAAAATTGTCTCCCTTACTGTTTCGCTTACAGAAGCCTCTACTGAATTACCGGTAAAGAGGCTTTTGTTAGCATGGGGATATCATTGGTTATCCCTTAATTAAAGCAATAAAATATTATATATTAAATATATTAATGCAATAAAGCATAGTGTAGTCCTTCCACCCTCAGCCAGGTGAAAAAAATGCCCCAAAGCACATCTTTGTTCATAGTCCTTTATTGGCATTACTGGAAGACTTAATTTGCCAGGAAAAGTGTGTCCCTTGTTGTTTTTTCTTTATTTGTCCATCCAGTAAGAGCTGGAATTGTAGAATTTGAGGTTAGCCATGCACATGAGAAGAATCCAATTAATGCAGAATCTTATCATAGTTGATACATTCATATTGTAGGTGAAAAAACAAACTGCTAAATGTGTCAGCTGTTCTGTGCGTGTTTTGTGCCCAGTACCGTTTAAATTGTCACAGGCATTCTGAATATTCTACATTCCACTCGGAGTGTTTCTCCCAATTCCTGCTTCAGCTTCTTGCCCAAGTATCATGAATGTTCTAGGACACAGGATATTGTTTTAACAGGTCCTGGAACATCAGTTATAATAAAAACAAGCTAAGGAAACAGAGCAAAACAAAATTTCATCCATACATTTTGCCTGGGGCCATTATCCTTTTGTTTGTTTGCTCCCACTTCAGTTGTACAACTCTACTGCAGTGCTATGCAATTACTTGTTTTGTAGATATTGAGTGCTGCATATACTGTACAACTTACCTTCCATGCTTAGTTTAAGTTGATCATTCCCTCCTGGATACCTAGAAATGTGACCTATAAACTTAGCAAGCCAAAGGATTTCCATTTAAACTGATGTAACACCTATTCTCATTTGGAGTTTTAGAAATAGAAGAAAGTATAAATTTATAAATGGGAGCTCCACTCTATTTTGCTTCTTCACATAAGGCAGAGGCTTTCAACCTTTTTGAGTCCACAGCTCCCTTAACCAATTACATTCTTTCTGCAGCACCCTGTGGGGCCCAGGAGCCCAGTTATGTCACCCCTTGCCTGCAGAGCTGGCAGCCTCTCACCCTTTTTTCAAATACCTTCCCTTGTGGGGTGTTCCCTCAGCCTCTCCCCTCTCATTGGGAGTCCTCTAGGCAGCTGCTGCTGCCGCCCCTGGCCTCTAAGCCCCACCCCCCCGCCCCAAAGAGAGATGCCTCCCAGAGGCACCATTCACCTGTAGAGTTTATAGCCAGGGCTGCTGTAGTAAACAGCTGTGCAAGCCTTTGGGAGGCAGAGACACAAGAGAGCATCAGTGGAGGGAGGGATGGAAAGAGGGACAGAGGCCAGTGCTGCCCACGGTACCCCTGACCGTCATTCAAGGCACCCCAGGGTGCCACAGCACACCGGTTGAAAACCACTGACATAAGGGATTGATTACATACAACAGTGCCTTCATGAAAGTACATAATTATATTACAAGTTGCCGTTTTTAACCTAAGGGAAGTTTAAAAGCAACTTTGGATATATCAGGAATGGATAAGCAGAATTAGATATAAATTGTTATATGGGTCTTCTATTCATGCTTTGCTCGATTGGGGTTTAAGAGTAATTGTGGATTCTGCTGATACTACCCTTCTTTTAAAGCAACATGCTGGTTGTATATTTATTATAAGCACATTTTGTAGAGAGTTCATATTTTCTTGTGTTAGGTAAATTAACTAACTAACTAACTAACTAACTAACTAACTATTGAAATTCTATGTGTTACCACAATGTGTTAAGGTTAAAAGTGCATGTAAAAATGGTTTCTACACTGAAAATGTAAATTCTAAGCTTTCAGATATCCTTGGACAATTTTTCAACCTCCTGGCAATCAGGAATTGTCTAACTAACATCAAGGAAACATTGCTTGAAATATAGAAAACTTTTATTTTATTGTTTGATATTTGACTTCATTCTTCATGTAATGAGTTGTGTGATGTTTCTTTTTCCTCTCTCTTTTTAAAAACTGTAACAAGACCCTTGAGATTTGTATTCTGATTACTTTGGAAATCTGGATTAGTCTTCTTTAGCAATGCCTTTTAACATAGTAAGCACACCAGCATCTTTTAACAGCATATTGCTAGAAGCCAAAGAGTAATTTGGTTTATGACAATAGGGCCTAAATCCAGTTAGAGTCATGTGTGCTGTTAATAAACCATTGTAATTATCAGATGATCAGGACCAATACATTGGCAGTAGATCCTAATTAATGGTTTTCTGTGAACATGCAGATGTCTCTGGCTCCACTACTCCCATAGCATAGGCAGGAGCAACAAACCACAATCCCTGGTTTAGCATGATGTCCAAAGACCCAGTATGAAACTGACTGGACTTGTATTTGAGAGCACAGTCAGGCCTTTTGTGTGAAGACAGCAGAGAAGGCTTAGTGTGCTGACTGCACTGCATATTTGAGTAGCTGGCCAGCAGAACTGTTCCATGTGGTGAGAGGAATGTTGACATCTGTCCCAGGGAATAGTGTTGGAACCATGGGAGGCCTGCTGTGACAAGTTTGACAGGCCTTTGAGGATAAAAGTACTTGTCTTCTTGCTGAGTTTAGTGCCACCATTATTATAGAGCCAGGGAGCTGTCCAGCAAAACATATTGCCCAATCCTGTGGGATTGGTTTCAGCTGATGAGGCCTGAAAATATGGACAAGGTGCTTGCAGCTCTTTAGCCTATAACATGCCCCCCGGCAACCCCTGCCCATCATGGCTTATTTCAGCTGGTCTGGGTTGAAGGTGGGAAGGTGGCCAGGTGACCTAATGAGGAGGAGGAGGATTTATTATTATTTATACCCCGTCCATCTGGCTGGGTTTCCCCAGCCACTCTGGGTGGCTTCCAACCAAATATTAAAAACACAGTACAGCATCAAACATTGAAAACTTCCCTAAACAGATGCCTTCAGATGTCTTTAAAAAGTAAGATAGTTGCTTATTGCCTTGACATCTGCTGAGAGGGCATTCCACAGGGCAGGCACCACTACCGAGAAGGCCCTCTGCCTGGTTCCCTGTAACCTCACTTCTTGCAGCAAGGAAACCGCCAGAAGGCCCTCAGCGCTGGACCTCTGTGTCCGGATTGAACAATTATTGCTTCTACCCTAAAAAAAAGGTCCTGGAGTTGCTAGTTACAGGATTTTTATAGTAGCTATGTCATGGAAAACTCACTTTCTACATCTCAGGCCAGAATTACATGCCAGCCAACTGATTTTTCTATAGGAATGTGAGATAGGCATCATTTTCTCTTCCATCCTGTATTTGTCATATGCAGCGCTGTTTCCATTCTGCTGCAGTTCATCTTCCGTCAAATACTGTTATTCACCTTGCTGTCTGCTGTGGCAAAATTTAATAATTTACATAATGAATTAGAAACTTCATCTGCATATAAAGACAGGCTCTGGTGGGTTGAGTGGATGAGACCAATAGTGGGTCCAGTGCTCAAGAAGGCAGTTGGATAGTGTCTTGTACGCCTCCTTCCAACAACTCCTTAGGCCCAGCTGGTACCAAAGGTATTGCTGTGCTTTCCTTTGCACCACATCAGTGAGACCAAGAGAAGGATCTTGTCGTGTGGGCAGCCCAGGATGTCCATACACACTGCCCAGGCTTGCATGCCAGGGAGGTCAATTTGGTGGCATGACCCTGCTTTGCTTTAATCACAGAGAATTTCTTCTTTATGAAAAGGGATACAGTCTGCCTGACTTCTAGTTTCCCTCTTCTTTTCTAAAGGTTCAACTCCCCACCGCATTCTGTGAGCTCACATGTTGTGGTTGAGCTGTTTTTATTAATTTCCTTTTTCTCTTTCTTTACAAACCTCTATACTTCTGAGTACCTAGGGAGTCCACAAAGCATGCAGAAATTACAGCCTTATATTTGAGTGGCCCCATTTTGCTTCCAAAATGATAGGCGCTCAAACTCCTGAGCTTGCTATTATGTGGAATGATGATAGTTAAATGAGACCTTTGAAGTTAAAAGCAGTGTGCCTCTGAATACTAGATGTTGGGAATAATCAATAGAGGAGGTGTGTTTCTTTCATGGCCTGCTAGTGGGTTTTCTGCAGGCCTTTGGCTGGTCAAAACAGTGCCAGATTAGATGAACCCTCTTATCCAGCAGAGTTTTTCCTTTCTACTCATGTTTTAATGCCCTCAAGTCACATTCAGAGGATTTGGCTGCCGTTAAATAAAAATTAGCATTGGGCATAATCCAGAGAAAGTTAAGCATGCTTCAATTCTATTAATGTTTTCTACAAGCACCTGAGTGACAACATGCACATGGTCTGTAGAATCGTAAGTACTGATGTTTAAATCACATTGTTTTAAGCGTCCATTGGTTTTGTTGTACAGTGCTGGTGGAAAAATGCAGAGGTTAATTAGAATTTTGGGGAAGTCTTTGGATGGTAAATTAGTCTTTGGATCTAAATTCAATAAATGATGATGATGATGATGATGATGATGTGGGGGGTTAAAAGCTTTGTGTGAATGATTTTAGCAAACTAGTTCCACATCATTCTATTAAATAGTGTCAACTAGAAGAGTGTAGTTTGAAGGAGAACAGTCTTCATAATTAAATAAGCCATTCTTAGGTTTATATTTATCACTTTAATTCCCAACCAACCCATTATTAGATTCAAACTTTGCCACTTTTAGAAGCACTGGCATCAGGCACAGCACTTAAACAATGCTCCACCATCATTTCATAAAATACTGTGCAAAGCTGATTAAACCATTTCAATAAGTGTTAATGCTGTGATACAGATGCTTAGTAAAGCAGAAATGTCCCATATGGTCCTATAATTGTATATTATTTGTATTTATTTTTACAGGTGACTGAGCTGGAGTGTGTTAGTAGTCAAGCAAGTGCGGTCCACACACATAAAACAGAATTAAACCAGACAATACAAGAATTAGAGGCAACGCTGAAGAAAAAGGAAGAGGTACTTGCTTGCATTTGTTGTTTGACTTATTAATAGCCCTGATTATTTACCTTATACACCATTCATAGTATTGCATTTTAAAATGGTTGTGGAAATCAGAATAATTTTTTAAAATAATGTTTCAGTCTGGGATTGATGATGATGAAAAATCAATCAGTTTCTTAAAGGGAAGCTTAGCTTGTATCAAAATACGGGTTACAAAAATAAGTTGTCTAATTTGTTTTTTTTTTATTCTGTTGACTAACATCTAGAATGAGATGCAAAATTCTTTGCATAGGGAAAAACATTTAGATACCGGTAAATATGGGTTGTTTCCCCCCCAAAAAAAACCCACACATTTCTTTCAAAAGTCAGTAGCTTTCCTCTGTCCTTCTTGGAAGTGTGAAAGCAGGCTGACAAACAGGCCACAACTCATTTCTAAAAGGTGGCTTTTATATACTGGTTCAAAGTGCCTGAAGAGTCAGGAGTATTAGAATTAAAAGTACTTCCTCTAGTGATGATGATCGGCAGACTGACCCCTGCAGTATGAGGCCATGCATTGGTGGGAAGTTCAAAAAGCGTCTTTGTTGCCTTTGGCAAAGCACACTCACTTCCCCAAAGACTGAATAATAGGTAGGGATTGCTTTTTATATCACTTCTCTAGTCCTAGAAGCACGCTATTATTTCGCTGTCAGTAATTGGCGCCAGATGTTTCAGAGGACAGTTCAAGATATCTCACTGCAGTTCCGAAATAGCATGCCTTCAGGGAAGTTTCTTCCTAGTCACCTAACTGGTAGACTTTTATTGCACAAAGAAGTGTTGAGATGTTCGCTACTTCCACAGATGTCTACTTTAATTCTTGAAACCATTCTCTTCACAGAAGGCAAGTTAGGCTCTAAGCCAACGTTATTAGTATCTAGCCTGACTAAATGATTCCAGTGTTGCTTTAGACTTGGTCATGAATTGTTGCATATATTTCATTACGATTCCTCTGGCTTTCTTCTTGCTATAAAACAGACAGTTGTTCACAGTCCCTTGTAACTGAAATTTCATCTTTGTTCTTTGCAGCATTCCCTCCCTGGTGTCTTTAGCCCTGAAAAACTGGCTCTCTGGCAGCCGATTCTTATGACTCAATTTCAGCTATTGCTGCATAATCATTAGCAGATTTCTATGCTTATGAACCTGAAGCACAAATGATGCTTCCCACTGGGAACTGTGCATGTTTTGAGAAGCATGCTGAAGTTCAAAGCTCTAGGGCCAGCCAGATGGCTCTCAGGGTGATACAGTTTGGCCCACTCTCTGACTCTAGTTTTGCTGCATAAGTACCTGGGAGAAGTACCAATGGGTTCTGCAGCATTGGCAACCCTGTCTTGTTTGTCCTGATATGATGAGGGGGATTTGTCCAGGATGAAAGTTAGGTTGACTTTGGATAATATGCTGTTTTATCTCCTTTAGGAAATAGAAAAATTGAGACAAGAAATCGACAATGCCAGAGAACTTCAGGCACAGAGGGACTCTTTAACTCAGAAGTTACAAGTAAGTTACAGGATGAATAGGGTTGTATCTGCTTGTAGATAACAATAAAAAAGAGGAAAGAAGTTGGATAATTTTGGATCTTGAAGACTTGTACAGACAGACAGTTTGGGGTTGCAGTATAGCCCCCACCCCATTACTGCTTTGATGGAGCTAACTGTGTTCCTGGCAGTGTTTGTGTGAACATTGTACAAGTGTGATGGAAGAAGGGAAGCTCTGTCACTGCGCAGGGAAAGCCCGTTCACGTTAAACAAACAAACAAATTATGAGAATGGCTGTCCTAGTGCTGGAGAGAAGGTGCTGTACATCTTTCAAGGGGGGAGAAAACATATAAAAGAAGTGATATGCTCTGTGGATATGTGAATTCTCTTTCAGACTTCCTTTTCTTAATAAAAGGTTACATACGGTAAGTATTCCTAGAGTTCCAGGGTGGTCCAATGTGTGGCCCTATTTTGGCAGCTTTCAGCAACATTTGATGTCCCTGTACAGCCCTCACTTTGCCTTCCCAAAGCTGGGTAAGTGAGGTGCTGGCCTTCAAGAAGGAGGTGTGAGGACTCTGATAGGCTCCTGGAGTCCCCCTGCCTCCTTCCTGGTTAGCACTTTCCTAGCTTTGGGGAAGAGGTGGGAGGGCTCTAGGACCCTGCCAGAGCTTTATGCCTCTTTTCCAAAGAAAGGCCCTTAGAGTTGAATTTCCAGATCACTCCAAGATCAGCAAAGAATTACAAGCCCAGGAGCACAAGCTGTTCCTAGATAATCCTCCCATCTCATGCAGACAGGTCAACAGAATGCTCGGATGCAATATATTGCCCCTTGAGTTACTTGGGGATATTTGATGGTCAGGAACACTGCAGTGTATTTTCTTGGGAGGAAGCAGAAGAGGGCTGTCTAGAGCAGGGAGGGGTGGGGAACATGTGGGCATTTGAACATAGTTGCACTCTGACCGCCATCATCCCTGACCATTAGCCATGCTGGCTGAAGCTGATGGGAGTTGGGGTCCATCAACATCTGGAGGGCCAAAATAAAGCCTTATGCTGATGCCTTCCTGTACAGGTAAAAATGCTGAAATTAGTATCTGGAAATTTTGAAATTTTATATTTCTATTGAAAGGCAAACAACCAAACTTTGATAAGCAGGTGGGAGTAATTTCTGCTAGAACACAAACACTTCCTCTTACATATCTGTTGCAATTTATGCTAGGAATTTTAGCGTTCATAGCTTTTGAAGCGGCATTCTTTAACAAATTGCTGCAGGCCTTGATGTCTTTCATCTCTTCAAATGAGTGTGTGTTTTAGATCTTGATTGCCTGTAGATTCTGTGTTCTCAAAACTGACTGGTCGAGTTACTTGGAGATAAGCAGCAAGATTATATACACACTCAAATGATGTCATGGTCTGTTATTAGCCAAATACTGCACAGTGCATTTTCATTTGACATATATGACCATTCAGTGGGATTTATGCCCTTGACAAACTTTAAAAAAAAAAACAACTTAAATAAGTGCAACAAAAGAATCCTTTGCAAAACAATTTTACGTGCTTACATGTTCTTTCCTACAGGTAACTCATATCTTATGCTTATTTTACTTATGTGATCACAGCTTTGTGTGGGGCTTGGGGAAGGATAAATAAATAAGGAGCAGAGGAAATCCACACCCACACACCCCCATGCAAAGCTGTGGTTGTGGACTTACATGGCTTTGGGAAGGCTGTGTGAGCACTTTGGCAGCATCCCTTGCACTGCCTTCCCAAAGCCAGGCCAGCGCTAACTTTAGGAAGGCAGTGGGAGGGCTCTTGCACACTGGCAGAGCCCTTCCACCCTCCCACAGCCAGGTAGGCAGCCTTACAACTTGGGTGGGGCTTGTTTCAGGGGCTCCTGACTTTACACATTTTTGCATATATGTGTGGACCCACAGAACTGAACGCTTGTGAAAGATGTGAGTTATCTGGAAGGGTGTGTGTGTGTGAGTTCTTAACTACCATTTAAAATCCTGTTAACAATGACCTGGCTCCTGACACTGCCAAAAACAAAGTTTTCCTTTTAAATCCATTTGTAATTAAATGATGTTTAAATGACTAAAATATATATTTACTAAGATGCTAAATCATATTGTGTAGGCTAGTCCATGCATCCCTATCTATCCTCCATTCCCTTCCTAATTCTATGTGAGGCAGTGGCAAAGCACACTTATATAGCATGCGGCTCTTGAGGCCATTTTTGTGAGCACTCTGAGGGGGGTCCTAGACTCCTCCTCCCTCCATCCCAAAGCCTACTTAGCTCTTTCCCAGCTTTGGGGAGGGCTCTAGGACCCTGCCAGAGTCTCTGTGTGTCAAATTTTGGCCTCACCTCTGCCCCCCAACCAACAAAGCAGTGTGGAGCCTACAGCTTCTGGGTCCCATACCTCCAGCCTCAATCCCCATTTGTGAGTAAGAGATAACCCTGTTGAGCCTGATGATCACTCCAGCTCCATGTTAACTGTATAGAAAACTGATAAAGATAATACTGTATTTACAAATGACCTATATTGCTGCTGCTTCTTTTTTTGAAGGAAGTGGAAGTTCGAAACAAGGACCTAGAAGGACAACTGTCTGACCTAGAGCAGCGTCTGGAGAAAAGTCAGAATGAACAAGAAGCTTTTCGCAATAACTTGAAAACACTTTTAGAAATTCTTGATGGCAAAATCTTTGAACTAACAGAACTACGAGATAACCTGGCCAAGCTAATAGAATGCAGCTAAAGAAAACGGGATCTCAGTGCCAACCTTCTTAAAGATGCACTGTCTCTCTTCGTAGGACTTTGTTGGGCTCTGCATCAAAGTTGCACAAAATTAGGAAAACGCTCCTCCAGGAGGGCCTGTTTTAAATTTTCAACAATATATTTCAGTGTAAAATTTTAGAATTCAGCTTGTAGCTAGTTGGGGAAAAATAATAACTTGAACTACAAATTACCTCCTTGTATATAATTGGCCATAGATAACTCGAAAGATATTAACAGTAATTGAATGCAATCCTTTTCTATTATTAGCCAGTGAAATATTGAGAAGTGCCCCATATGGCATCCCTTTTAGTGTTAGACACGTTGTAGATGATCTGTCTTATTTTGTTTTTATTTTGTTGGTTAAGACACTCAATTGCTGTGTTTTGTGCAAGAACTTTGCGATGACAGCCCTCTCTTTTGTTGTAATCTTAATAATTTCTCAGGATATTTTGCACTGTTAAGAAATAGTGCATTACTAATTAATTCTTGCCAGGCGTGAGAGAGAGTTGCATCTTTAATTCATACCTAGTGAGTAACTGCTTGTATAGAGTTCTTCCCTTTTTTATACTGGAAGATACTGTATTTATTTATGATGTTCACTCTGGTGTTCACTAATATTGTCCAGTGTATGGTTTACTTTTCTCTGTTTAAGTTCATGTATGTAGAAGTTCTGTGTTCCATTTTGAAGCCTATCTATGAAGACAGGTGAGTCCCTGAAAAGTATTTTCAAATTTGCTATATACAGATAAGCATCCATCTAGTCTTATTTATTAATACCACATATGTTTAATATTCACTGTTACCAACATATGTTTTAATAATTCTTTTAACCAAAACTTCTTCAGAGTAACCAGTGCAGCTTGCTATAGATATACTGTGGATATACAGCAATTGCCAGGGTGTTTACGTTGACCTTGCTCATTCAAAGAAATTGTATAATCACAGGAAATTGGAGATATTTCCCCCTCCTCTTTGAACCTTCACATCACATGTTTATCAAAACCACACCAGGCAATATTCTGAATTTCAAAACAGGAATTGAATTCAGTTATCCTCAGTGAACATGTTTTTAAGTTGTTTTGATGTGATTTACAAAGACTTTTGCCAAACATGTATTTCTTTATATAATATTTTTTATTTTAAAGAGAAAAAAATGAAAGGTAAGCCAAGTGTCAAATGTCTGCTTACTGAATGGGAGTTGCATTATGGGACAATCTTGCTGTAAATTGTCTAATATTGGAGAGGATTTTTAAAATGAATGGGGGGGGGAAATCAAACACAAAGATGCACTGACCTTTTCTTTACACCCAAATTAATTTGAATGTTAAATGCAAAATCCAGCTTGAATATAAACTCTGTACAATAGAATTTTTTTTCCACTTAAGGACTGCTATTCAAAACTAGATAATATAAGTCGGGTTTTTTATGTGTGTACTGTATGTATATACTGTATAATACACACATTCTAATTTGTATTCAAAGTGGGAAAAATACATGGTGGGTTAATTTATAAAATGCCATTTTCTTTATCTGTAATTTAACAGGTGTCTCCTGAAATGTCAGGATTACTGTTTAGCTAACAGTAAATTATCATGTATTATACTGTATGTACTGTACACATCATTTGAGTTTCATCCATATTTTAGAGTATTCTGCCACTTATTTTATTTATTACTGGAGAAAATATTTGTTCATTGCATTCATAGGTAAAAGCTTTCTATGGTGATTTTTTTTTTTATAGCTAGATGTTAACGATGTGTAACTTTATCAGGTCCAGGACAGTAGTGATTACCTGATTTTAATTTACCTGGAGAAGTTTGTACCTGATTCTCTTGCTATATGAGTGTCAATTGGAAACATCTTCAGAAAAGTATAAAATTGGTGTAATTGTAGGAGGAATGAAGTATGTTCATGAGTGTTATTAATTATAACAAGTTAGAACAGAAATTTGATGGCAAAAAATGTAACATTATTTTTAATGAGATCAAAATTTTTAATACAATGACATTTACATGTGGGAAAATAGTTTACAAAATATTTCCACTGAAATGCTGTGTATATGTGTGGTACAAGAAATTTATTTGTATATGTACACATACACACACATGTATATACAGTACATGGAAAAATTTAAATGTGCACATTTTTAATATTTTCCTATTGAAATTAAATTTGAAAATTGGAAATCAATATTTGAGAATTTCTTTTCTCATGTATATTAAGATGCTTGACTTTGGGTTCTTTTGTTTGTAAAAATAAAATCTATGAGGGCTGCACCATTGAACTCCCAAAAGTCATCCAATATGTATATGGGATAAGTGGAATTAAGTGCACATATAAATAAAATCCTATTGTTAAGAATATTTTAATGTTCATTTACGGTAGGTGGGTGTTTAGAAATTGTATTCTAGAAATTGTATTCTGAAATTCCTAATTAGGTGATCATACCTACTTTAGCCACTTCTGTATTATTAAGGTAATAATTGGCATAATGGACAAAGTCATGTTTTCCCCAGAGACTGGTATTACATATTGTATCTATCTTAAGAGAAACTGTGGGAATATATATGCCAGAAAATGTTGGGTACTGTGGACAAACAAACAAACAAACAAGAAATTACATAGGAGAACAATTACCCTGTGTACTTGTCATATGACAATTATGGAGACTTGTTTTAAAAAAACACCTTTCTTTTAAAACCCAACAAATACAGTTTTTATTTTGAAATACAATTGCTGTTCTGGAGAATGTACTTTACTCATTTTTTTCTTCTTCAGCTCTTTTTAAGTATTACAAACTGTTCAATGGATGGCAGCATTTACCTTAATCCTTCAGGTGCTACTGGATTTTGAATTAGAGTGTCATGTTGTGAAATTCTGACTTTGACATAAAAAGGTTTTATAAGTACATCCCCGTCTGGAAGTTGGTTATTGGAGCCTCTTTCTCATAACTCTACTCCAGAATATTCCAATATTTCCCCCAACACCTAGTCTGGATTCAAGTAGATCCATTGAAACAAATGGGATTGAAGTTAGATGCTTTGAAATCAATGGGAATTATTAGCCATGAGTAGCTTAAGTCTAATTGGTTTCTGTGGGTCTACTGTAATCATGACCAAGTCTGGTTCCATCCCAACAGTACCTTAACTACAGCACATGTATGGAGCCTTAGTAAGCAAGATGGAGCATAACAGAAAGTCTGATTGATTGATTGATTGATTGGTCAGGTCTCGAAGAAACCAATTGACAGGCAGTCTGGAGTTTACCGTGGCCAATTTCCTCCTTGCTGCTTTGTGAGATCTGTGAGATCTGATTGTAAATGTAAGGTTGGATCCAGAGTTGCCCTTTGATAAACAGAAGGGATGACAATCCAGTGAATGCTCCCAAGATGCCCCTTTCCTCTTGCATCATCATCACCAGCCCCAAGCCACCTCCTACCCTGTTCTCCCCTCTGGTGCAAGAGGTCAGCTTCTTTGGAAAAGGCTGCACACTCAGTGTCTGGGCTTGAGAAGCAGTCACCTACATATCATCTGCAGGAGGCAGGGCCTCCACCTTGAGCTCCATTTCAACTTCCTGCCTTGTGGCAAAAGGCAAACCCTGCACTGGGCACAAGAGCCAATAGCAACAAGAAGAAAGAAGGCAGCAGCTGCCACTGTTCACCCCCTACCTGGAACACAAGCGGCTGCTTTGGAGAGGCACCACGCACTCCTTCCATGAGAACATCCTGGGAATGGAATTCTGCTCATAGGAACCCAAGCCAAAATAACACTTTAAAATTATTACATGAGAATAGATAATTATATAATCCATTCATTAATAAGGATGTGGGTTCGAAGGACACCTACACTTGAACAGCCTCAATTAATTCAGTGTGAATTACTTTCAACAAAACATGTATGGAACTAGACAGCAAATTAGCTTTTCCCATCCTTTGTTGCAAGCCAGCTCTCTACAAAATCAAGGTTCCTTATGGAAAACGTAAGTAGAAAAATTCACTTCCATACAGTACTTGTTCTTTGATTCTTGTGCCAAAATGGCAGCATGATTGGACAATTTCCAATAGATTTTCTGATCCTGGCAGAGAGGAGGGGGTAATGGTTAGGGAGACTCACATAGAATACTGCCACAGTTTAATACTTCATAGCAACTTTGTAGCAAGCAGGTCTTTCGTGTGAGTAGTCTGAGTGGGTGGTTGACTAACCAGTTGCACAGGATCTGATTAATTACACGCTGGAACTCAAGCAATCTGCAGGGCTTGTTCATGGTTCTTAAGTTTGGTCTCAACAGCACAAAAAGAGCTTGAAATTTGGTTTTGTTACCAGGGAAAAAGGAAGCATTGCTGAGAGACTACTTGAATGTGCAGACTAACAAATGTATTCTCTTGTGTTAAATCAGGTGTACCAATTTACACTTACACTTGGGGGGGAAAAGAACAGACTTACCAAGAGTAATCCTAGGGACAGTCTATAACAGAGGAGCCACCACTTCTTAAGCCTGATCAGGTTCACATGAGCCACAAAAGATGGAATGCACTTTCCCCTCTTCTTTTGGAACTTGGTCTTTTTATTATTTGTCCCATTGACATAGTTTGTCTGAGGTATGTCAGGGGACTGCGGGGGAGGGGGGGCAGGGATTGGAATCATGCAGATCCAAGACTTCCCCCCAGGGTGGTCCTTTTCATTCCCTGCCAGAGTACCATCAGTGGAGTGACAGCAGCAGAGCTTTCTGCCGCTGCAATGAAGAGGAGGGTTCCAGTGACATACCTTCTCCTCAACCTTCAGACTTGCCTCATTGCCAACAAAGAGGCCCACAACACACAAGGTTGCAGCATCCCTGGTCAGCCAGCTGCCTCCAAAGAGGACTATCCAGGACTGGAACCAGACTTCAGGGGTCCCATGATGTCCTGATGAGTCCTCAACAAGCACACAAAACCCCTGCTACTCCACTATAGCCACATTATTTTTCCTTGATGGCACAGGAGTGGCTGCAACACATTTGCTGCTCTCTCCATCAACTCTGCATGCAGTGTGAATGGGACTCAAGTGTGGTTCTTATCTGTAGTGGTTGCCCAATTTATCCAAAATGAAAACTTTTGTTTTCAAAGTTTTACGTCTCATTAAGGGAATCTTGCATGATGGAATGAGAGGGTCAGAACTACCTGTGATCCTTTGATTGCAATGAAAAAATCATCTTCTGACACATCAGTAGAAGAATGTACAGAAAGTTGATAGGGATTGCTTATGCCTAACATAACCGTACAATATTATACTAGCATGTCTGCTTCAGAGCTCCACAAGTCCTTTAAATGAATGTGAAAGAAACTGTATTCAAATAAATATCCTTTATTAAAGAAAAAAAAGGAACAACTTTTAAGCACCAAAATTTTTAAGTATGTTGTTACATTGCATGTACACGAGACAAGTCATTCAGGACTTTGGGTATAGGTTTGAATTTCGAAGCCATGATAGTAAAAAACATGAAGTACAAAGCAGTACAATAAAGTTGCAGGAAGGCTGCACTTAAAGGGAAAAAAAGCGAAAGGGCAAACAGTTAAAACTTTTAGTTTTCAAAATATTGCTAACAATGCTCTTTTCGTTTATACTTCGTGCTTAATACTTTGGAACACTGAGCATTATAAAGGTATTGCAACTTTGCTGGAGCATTTCAGAAATGCAATGTCCATTTACAAATGTCCATTAAATACAATTGTTTTAAAGAAGTGCAGCACAGCACACCGATTTTCATTCTTTTTGCACTATGTTAGTGAATGGTGAATTGGTTTTCTTTTTAATTTTTTAGCTGTTCAAAAATGAGGCGTTCCATTAATGTTTAACAAGCTTTATCCATGCAACATAATCAACAGCCTTCTACATTTCAGCAAATATGTTAACACAGCTCTGCTCTTGGCAACTCATAAAATGACAAACAACAAGTGGGCTGTAGCCAAACGAATGTAAGACTAAAGACCCAAAGTTAAGATGTGGTAGTGGGAGTTCCATGACAGGCTCCCCTGAGGTTTGTTTTTTTAAAAAACAAAAAAGGGGGGTTAAAAGCAATCAGTGAGGGAGAGAATTAATTTGGGCCATAATGCTGCTTTGTTTTTATCTCATTCCTAAGTTATTATTTCCCCTATTTAAATCTCCTCTCCCTTTGAAATTGTCATTTACTTCACTGAGGAAACATAGAGTTTCAGGGGGCAATTCAAATCAGCAAAATAGAGCAGCAGGGAAAGGGTTACAAAAAATGCATCTCAGTCCAACTCCTATATGGGAACCTTGTAGATGCTTTCACCTTTTAAAAAGAACCATGCAAGATCTGGTCCTAGTTCTAATGTCCTGCCTTGTTGAGGTTGAAGTTCTGCATCAAGTGTGTAGACACTAGTCATTCCTAGACTGTATGATTTCTAAGTACATGAGGATGAGTGCTTCCTGTAAGATTTTAAAAAAACTCCCCACATATAAAGAACAAACACATTAGTCTAGGGGCCTCCCTATCTCCTAGCTTTCAATCTGCAGAAAACATTCTCACTTGTAATCTGCCATAGAACTGTCTATATATCTGAATCAGCTCTGAAAGTAATAAACTCACATTTCCAAAGGAGGAGTGGGGAATAGGACAATGGAGTGGAGAAAACAGTTTGACTACAACTCCTGTCATACCTAACAATTGTCCATGTTCACGGGAGTTGATGGGAGTTGTAATCCAGCAACACCTAGAGGGCCACAGGTTAGCCACCACTCGACTATGTACAACGCAGCCAACTATTATATGCTCATACCAGATAAGCGCCCTTCACAGTACCGCATGCCAAATCATACAAGCTTGGGGCTGTTCAGGGAATGAGACGACTTCCAGGATTATACCCAATGTGAAGTCAGGTTGACATGCCCCTTCACTGCAGGAGATTGTTGTTGATCAGTGACGTCTTAGCTGGGCTTGCAATCATTTTTCCTACAGGGAAGGGTGTTTCCCTTTCAACCCATGCCACTGCTGCCATTTCCAAATTCAAGGTAATGCCTGGTACATTTGGAAAGAAGGCACTTTGTGCCTGGCTCAGATATAATACGAAACCACGGTTTGGCCAGTGTCACGTGAACAAGCCTGCTTAAGAGTTTAATCCTGGTTTGTTTCAACAAACTATACTTTAAAACTAACCACTACTTCAGACCTACCAATGAACAGTGATTTGTTTAAACTAGACAGTGATTATATAGGAGTGTAAGCCCAAGGTTTGCAGCTCATTTCTCTAACATTAAGCTATGGCTTAGTGTTACATTCAAACCGGCCCTTGGGCTCTTGCTGTTACTGACAGCTTTTTTAAAAAAAGAAACATTGTTTTTATGGTGTGGCATACAAAAGGCTTTCTCCCGTTGGCTAGAATTTATTTATGAATGCCACTAGTGATTGTGGCTCAGTTAGCCCTTTTCAGATATTCAGCCCAAACATATGAGGGCAAAAGATGTGTAGGAGGCTGGGGACACATATACTAGTCCTGCTTCCACTTCAGCCATTTGCATGTTTAGCATCAAGTCCTGAAGGAAGTCTCAAAGTGCCCCAAAATCTCTCTGCAACCAGGAGCCCAATCTCAACCATGAGGGTGCTTATCGGCATGTTGAACAGGCTTAGAAGCTCCCCACTCAACCTGGCAAGGTATTGGAGGGGGTGAGCCCACCATGTATACCCCTGGCCCCCCCTCTTTTAGACCTCACATGTTCAAGCCGAGTGACCAGAGGTTCTGTTTTACCTACAATTAATGGTGGGGAGGAACCACTCTAATCTGCAGCTCACTCTTCAGCTCCTCCTGGGAATAAAGCCACAAAGAAAGTATTTTCTGAATTGGACTCTTAATCACAGATAGTGTGAACACCCATACTAGAAAACAGAATAAATAAAATTCTGATGCCCAGGTCTAGAGAGTACATAGACCAATAAAGGCCAGGTATAACAGGCTGCTAGCCACATTGACCATGTTCCACGTCCAGTAGTGGGTAGACTGCTGCTGTGCTCAGGTCCTGCTGCCATGCTTCTCATGGGCAACTGGTTGGCCACTGTGAGAACAGGATGTTGGCATAGATGCGACATTGGCCTGATCCAGCAGGCTCTTCTTATGTTTATCTGCTTGCTGTTGATTTTTATGCTCAAAGCTAGGAATTCCCAGGAAATGGTCTTAAATAGCAGAAAAGGTTGTGCAAAACATTAGAAAACAGCTTTGCAAAATAGAATGTTCACCATGGCCCAAATCAGATTTTAATTACGTAAGATTTCATGTAGCAATTAATATACATTATTTTTTGTTGGAAGCTTTCAAATGAGTTATAGGATAAAACCGTTAGTGCTTTCTTTTTCAAACCATTACACACAAGTAACAAAACAATGTGCTTTTCTCTACTAAAGAACACTTGGCCCCAATCCAGGGAAATGAGAGTGCAGCAAAAGGCTGTGTGGCTGCTGCTTCACCACAGAGCATCAGCCTGCCTAAGGCATGATCGAAGCAGTCAGAAGAGCAGGACACCATATTGAATCTGGATGTCCCCTTTCATGGTGGTTGGTGCTGCCATCTGCTTCCATGAATAGACTGCTAATAGATTAGGGTCAATATTGATAGCACACAACTATTGACACTTGACTCTAGTAGCATTTTAAAATTCCACATCCTCTCAATAAGGTGCTTACATCTCTTGCAACAAGCATCTCTTATGCCTCCTTTTCAATAAGCTTATTTGCTTGTTAACAGTTCACCAACACTAGATATACCTTGTTTCATGCTTCTGGGTTTGTTATGAGTAACACAGGTAACCAAATTACAAAAGCATTACAGCGAAAATAAAAGAATGCTCATAAATCCAAATAGTTTTACAGTTCGCTCTTTAAAGTCAGTGCAAATAAAAAGAGAACATTGACTTTGAGTGAAAGTTTCCCCCCTTTTCACTAGACTGTGACAAAAATGCACATGATTCTCTGAAGACAGTGTCTACATGAAACACAACTCAAAAGCAAAAACTTGGAATGCACCAGCAAGACATAATTTAGTGCTGTTAATTTGTTTTTGTGGTTACCAATTTTATAATATAAGCTGCTCTACTCTGAAAAGCTTTACAAGCAAATGGTTGAAATAAGAAGCAAAACTATCTATACTAAAGAATATAGTCAGTATACAAATAAACCAAGCAACTAAAATTAAAGACTTATGGGATCATGCTGCAGAAGATAAAACCACTTTAATAAATGTTGCTGTTCAACATAATTTATTTTTCTAGTGGAAATAAAACACATTGGCCCCCTTGCTGCCAAACTGCCAAACACACGACTCATCACCTCCTGGCATTTATAGTTCCTTGAGCTAGTCTACCACCAGTTCAGGGGCATCCAGGTAGATCACCACATTTCTTGACAGAATGCATTGTGGAGAATAAATTGAGAACAACGGCTGCAGTACAACCATGTACCGCAGTCCGTCTACAGCATACAAAATACTGGAATGCATTTTTTCATGCATACTTGTCAGCTGCATAGATTTAGGTGTGAATGCCAGTTCAAGCAGCATTCATCAATAACTTTTCTTAAATGCCCATATATTTGCTAAGTCTGCTGCAATAAATGTACTAGACTAGAGTACTGTGAGTTCTCAGCTGGTATGCAATGGCTTCAAGAAATAAAATTAGGAATCACTATTAATTAAAAGCAAAAGCAAAACATGTGGGAATATAATTATAAGGAATTGCACATAGATAAGATGGACAAGGTCCTAACTTGACAAATTTGTGTAAAATGCTATCCAGGCACTACTGGCACCCAGATTAATCTCTTCTTCCTAACAGATTATGGGGAAAAACTATACTCAGTCTAAAGGAAAACTCTGGATAGGAGATCAGCCACAGTACAGTGGTACCTCGGGTTACAGACACTTCAGGTTATATGTTTTCGGGTTGCGCACCGCGCCGAACCCAGAAGTACCAGAACGGGGGTTACTTCCGGGTTTCAGCGCTTGCGCAGAAACACAACCCGCGCGTGTGCAGACGCGGCGCTGCGGGTTGCAAATGTGCCTCCCACACGGATCACATTTGCAACCCGAGGTTCCACTGTACAGCAGCCAAGTATGTATAAAATATGTTCCTCTGAAACAGCCATTTTTATAGCGCCAAAAGCCGGTTTTATTTTTTTGCATTAATTAAACTGTCAGAAATAGTTTTTTAAAAAAACAAAAACAAACTAGAGCTTTCAAGGCAAAGATTCCATATATACAACCTGAACATTTCACAATCATCTTGAGAGCTTTATAAACTTTCCATATGAATTTAAAATTTATAGTTGCAAAAGAGTATTAGCATAAGGAGTGTTACTCTCAATTTTCAATAAGTTATGTCTCCTTGATTATGTGAATTGTCTAGCAAAATTTCCCATTCAAAGCTCCTGCTGCAACTGATTGTGTAAAGCTTTACATGATCCATCTCATCCTAATTTTTAGAAGTTCGTGTTTTGGACTACAACTAAAATTTCAAACACAATATATTATACAGTGGAAATTTGGAGTGTGACTAAATGGAGGTGACTAAATCGCAAAGGCACACCAACTACATATATTATGGTTTATGCTAAAGGTCAACAGTTATATTTTGCAGCTATTTAATTATTGCCACCACCAAATCTTGCATTATCTGTGACTGTAACCACACAGTGCATAATGCGATTTTGGTTAATATGCAGTAACTTGGAAAGGAAATGGGTTGTCTTGTTTTTCAGAAAATTAATGTTCAGTTCCTAATACAGTTCTTTGTCTCCCCAACAGAAGGCGTTCTCACAATAATTGAACTCAAGCTATTCTCAAGCTTACCTTTGGGAAAGGACAGCATTTCAGACTATATAAGGCAATAAGCTTTTTTTAAAAAAAACAAACCAGAATGGCAGGTATCCTGATAAAATATTTCTCATTATTATTACTGGCCTAGGTAGTAACTTTTGCACACCCAAATATTTCCAAGAGTTGAGCTGGACTGTTACATGTATTGTCAAGTATTCAGGGTACTTCCAAGTATTTTTAAAATGAAAAACAGCAAGACATTTATTTAACCTCTTACTATGAAAGATGAGTGGGCTTGCTAAATGCATTCCATCCAATATGCATCTGCTTATAACAGGGCAGTGAATATAGTAAATCATTTTAAAATGGATATTTCCTATCATATGGGATCATAGTTTGTCAAGCACAAGATTCTCCTACAAGCAGAAATTTTCATTAGAGAGCATTTTAATAAGGGTAAGATTAGGCCTGGTGCAGAAATACTATTCCGTACAGTACTCTGTTATTAAAAATGAGCTGCCTGCAGCTATTAGTCATTCTGTTTGGGATTACGTTGCTTTAGATATTCACTGTACCAAAGGCTGTGCCTCCTTTAGACCATTATACAACCAGGGTTAAAAATGAAGTGTTTTTCAAATAAGCAGGCTGTTACATAACTCAAATATTTTAACAATGACAGGAATAATGAAAACTGGGGGAAAATGATAACTTCCACAACTTAACAGTAAAATGGGATTTCAGTTTTGAATTTTCTTTAAATAAAGGTTCCTTAGAGTAATCAAAGAACAGTCAAACTAATAGACAAAAATAATTTTAAGTATTCTCATTACAAAATATTGCTTCTATAAATAAAATTTTATGTAACTTTATTATCTATCACTCAGTCCTGCAATTAAAATGTTTCTATTTATACGAGCATGGGAAATTCTAATTTTAAAATACAAGATGTACACAGTATACATGGCCTTCTAAAGGGTTTTGCTATATGCCATTTTAAATGTACTAGGCTGTAAACAATACATTCTTAAGTATATGTATTCCACTCTTAGGGGGCTTCCTGTTATTCTGTAGAGCCATTTGTTCCCATTTTCAAAATAACTTGTATTTTGTACAATGAATAGTTAAAATGCATTATATCTCTGAAATCCACTTCCTACATGACAAATATAGTGAGAAATAAAGACCTTTAGGAGAATTCCTGTTGCTGTAATAGAAGCTGATGTGAAAGTAGCAATTTGTTGATTAAACAGTGAAGTCTTCAGTGAACCAAAGGTCAGATTGCATACCTGTCCTGGTAAATTATGCTGGGAAGAAGCTCTGCTGCAATAGGTGCTGATTTAGTGTTTCACACGACTGTAAAAAGTGAGTGAAGAACCAGAAATATCTTGAATGGTTCGTTCTCCTCAGTGTTCTGCAAAATACACATCTAATAAGGTAGTTTTTGATCCCATCAGAATTTTGTACCATAATTTTAAAAAATGCATTTTAAGCTCTTCTGCACATATCAAATTGTTTGTCAGATGACGCCTTTCCCAGACAGAAGGTCAAACTGTTGACTATGGATGTTCAGAAGTGAAAGGAAAATCATTATTCTGTGGAATCCTCACCACCTGTTTAAACAAACAAAAAACAGCTGAAGGACAAACTGTAAAGTTGCTTTTAAAATCAAATTCTATTATTTAGAGGCTGCATCAAAATGTGATTTTCAAGCACCTATTCCTCCTTGGCATCTGAGTCTGCAGGCCACGTTCTGTGACAGGCTGCTCTAGCTGAAGATATGACAGAAACAAAATTAGTAGAAGAAAAGGAGAGGCTTAGCTCTTCCAACAGCTCATTAATATGATTAGTCTTTCTCTCCCCACATCACCTGCTTGGAATACTGAATCAAGAGGACCCTTTCCTCCTCTGCCCACAACAAGAGTGCTAGTGTAAGAACTCAGTGTCAATACTGTTTTGCAGGTGTGCGTATGAAAACACAGATACCACAGCAGTAGTACCTGCTTTGCTTATCAACAGTTCCATTTTGAATCCCCCAGTACCTCCAGTTAATGTAATCTCCAGTTATATACCAGGGCTGGCAGAGAATCGCCTTTCTGAGAACCTGAGAAGAGTTGCTGCCAGTCTAAGTCACCTATACTGGGCTAGAGGGACTCATGAGCCGACTCACTGTAAGGCAGCATCATTTAACTCAGGCATAGGCAAACTCGGCCCTCCAGATGTTTTGGGACTACAACTCCCATCATCCCTAGCTAACAGGACCAGTGCTCAGGGATGATGGGAGTTATAGTCCCAAAACACCTGGAGGGCTGAGTTTGCCTATGCCTGGTCTAACTACTGTACATGAAGATCTGTGGATGAATGGAACATTTGTAGCTTTAATTTATGTATGCTTTACTTTTTATAGAGATTTTTCCACTGCAGATTGATTTACAGAGTAAATTAGTAATTTCATCCTTTAAATTGATTTCCCCTTTACGGGAAAACTTGCCTTGCAGACTTTGGAAGTGACCTTAATTTTGATTAAATATATTGCAATTAGTTATTGGCATGCCAATTCACACATTAATCCAGTAGGGTCACCTCTGTCAAATTGGTAACAACCGTGATGAGACAAATCTTACATTCCACTAATGCAACATATGTTTCCACCTGCAACCCAGAAATCAGATTAAGGTTTTTACACAATTTTTCACTAAGTCTTAACCCTCTCCATGATCACAATCTTTCCCACTTTGTTCATGCTGTTGATTCAAACAGTCAAGGTTTGCTTGCAAATACTGCCTTTCCACGTTTCCAGCATCCTGAAAACGTATCACCATTTAAGAAAGATGCTATAAATGGGAAAAGATCTTGCTTTTCTTTAAAAAAAAACATGTCTAGAGCTTTTGTTCAAATAAGCACAAGCATCAATATACCCCAAAATTCCATATCATCAAACTGTAATTTAGATGTTTTAGATGAGTTAGGGAGGAATATAGTGTGCATCTCTCTTCTCCGATTAGAACAGTGGAATATAACACCCCTAGCCAGCCAGCTCAACAACCCAGAAAAAATGGGCAACAGATCTCTGAATTAGGAAAACTCCTCCCAAATCAATGACTAGAAAGGAGGCCACGTCATATAACTCTAGGAGTACTAGCTAAGACACACTTTGGTAAAAATGGAAGCAGCAGAGGCATCTGTCAGTCAGAAGTAAGGAAACTATATCCATTCTGACAAAGCAAGTTTCCTTCAGAGAAGTATCTTGTGAGAAGTTCCAACTTTCTTTTCCCATACGCTTTCCCCCCCCTGCCCCCGCCTCAATCCTACTCAGTTAATGAATATAGTTCTGGGATTTCCTAAATGTACTAACATCCTCATCTCCTCTGTGAAAGTTCAGGAGGATGGCAACACAAGAGCAGACCTTTTCTACTATGGCTCCCTGCCTGTGGAAAGCTCATCTTGAGGTGCCAGGCTAAAACATTCCTCTTTTCCCAGCCCTTTGGCTACTTAAACAATATTTGGCCTTTTAAACTGTGGGGCATATTGTTTTTTCTTGTTACTATGGTGTATGTATTTTTGTGTTTTTATATTGTAAACTGCCCTGTGATGCTCAGATGAAGGGTGGTACAGAAATTTAATAAATAAAAATAAATAAAACTAATCTATTTATGCACAGCAGTGCTCTGCACTGAAATATTAATATACAAAAATTTGCCTGAACTTGAAAATGATTTATTGCTAATAAATATTTTGGATAAAGCCATTTTATGTTTTAGTCTAAAAGCTGAAATAAACCCATTAATCTGCCTATTTTGAGCTTATACAGTGGCTGCGGATCTTAAGCCACACATGCACTTCTCTTGTGTAAATGTAGGAGAAGTTAGGCACATTCCTAACAAGCATCTACTATTATAGGTGCTGCTACTATTTGAGGAAACCAGATATATACCAAAAGAGGAAACATTACTCCTTAATTTTCCCAGTCTGTGCAAGGCAGGTTCTCCTCTTCATCTTCAGACTCTGGTGATGCTTCCTTAATTCGCCGTAGTGCTTCATGGATGCTGCGTGTCAAAGGGTCATCATCAGGTAGAATTGTGAATGATTCTCTCATGAGGTCCTTTTGCACTTTCTTCAGTTTCACACCTTTTCTTATCTGTGCCAAGATGTTATTGCTGTCGTCTTCATCAGGGAAAGGTGGGAGATTTCTCTGCTCAACTTTCCTCAGGTGGAAGCTACCACGTTTCAAGGAAGCCAACACCTCATCCATTGGGGAACTCACTGCAGAAAATCAAGAGTTCAGTAAGCATTGCAACTTTTCATATTTTATGCTATGAAATTTCAACAAGACATTCACAAAAGCCAACGATGTCTGAAATCTCCTTTTCCTCTCCTCCTCCTTGTGGCTCCACCTCCACTCCATTGGGTTCCCCAACCCACAAAGCACATTTCCTACATGGAAGGTAAAAAAAACCTGCTATATATTTCTAATGCACTGTTTCTACAATTCTGAAAAAAAATTACATTATTTTCAGATCACAGTAATCAAGCCCATAAGAAAGGAGATCAAAACAATTGGAGGATTATGTAGTTCAAAAGGTGAAATGAAGCTCCTGCACCAAGAGATGAGCCCCCAACTGTTGTCTTTGGTTCTCACAAAATGTCCGGTAAGTATCTGGCTCAACTTTCTATGTTAGGATAATGCAGCTGGTATTGAGGGAGGCTGCTATTCCTTAGAGAGCCAACCCAATCCCTCCACATACCCAACTGCCCTTGTGTACAGGGGCAACAACCAAACCTGGACACCTCCTGGTCTACCTGCCCACACATGCATGTCCACCTAGGGCAGTGTTTCCCAACCTTTTTTGGGCAAAGGCACACTTCTTTCATGAAAAAAATCTCGAGGCACACCACCATTAGAAAATGTTAAAAAAATTAACTCTGTGCCTATATTGACTATATAAAAAGTACAGTGGTGCCTCGCAAGACGAAATTAATTCGTTCCGCAAGTCTCTTCGTCTTGCGAGTTTTTCGTCTTGCGATGCACGGTTTCCCATAGGAATGCATTGAAAATCAATTAATGCGTTCCTAGGGAAACCGCCTTCAGACCAGGTCCGGGGACAGTCTGTCCCCCGACCTCTTCTGAAGGCTGGGGGGGGGGGGACAAGGGCTTTTCTTCCCACTGCCAGCCTTCAGAAGGCTGTTCTGAAGGCTGGCGGTGGGAAGAAAAGCCCTTCTTCCCACCTCCCGCCCCGCAAGCTCCGGGGACAGGAGGGCTTTGCTGCCGACCGCCAGCATTTTAAAAGCCCCTGCTGTCCCGGGGCGATTTTAAAATGCTGGCGGGCGGGAGCGAAGTCTCCGCTGCCCCGAGGAGATTTTAAAATGCTGGGGGTCGGCAGCGAACGCTTCGCTCCCGCCCGCCAGCATTTTAAGATCGCCCGGGGCAGCGGAGAAGTCTCCGCTGTCCCGGGAAGGCAGGCGGGGGGAGCAAAGACTTTTGCCCCCGCCTGCCTTCAGAAGAGGTCCAGGACCTCGTTCAGATGCCCGGCGGCGGGGTGCGAGGTTCCCGCCCCCCCGCCCCGCTTTGGAGCAGCGTTCCGAAGCGGGGCGGCTGGGGCAGGTGTTCCCGCCCCCCCGCCCCGCTTTGGAGCAGCGTTCCGAAGCGGGGCGGCTGGGGCAGGTGTTCCCGCCCCCCTTCGGAGCAGCGTTCCGAAGCGGGGCGGCTGGGGCAGGTGTTCCCGCCCCCCCCGCCCCGCTTCGGAGCAGCGTTCCGAAGCGGGGCGGCTGGGGCAGGTGTTCCCGCCCCCCGCCCCGCTTCGGAGCAGCGTTCCGAAGCGGGGCGGCTGGGGCAGGTGTTCCCGCCACCCCGCCCCGCTTCGGAGCAGCGGGAGAAGCGATCTCCCCGCAGCCCCTTGCTTCAAAAGAGGTCCGGGGGCAGCGGGGAAGAAGCGCTGCGCTTCCCGCTGCCCCCGGACCTCTTTTGAAGCAAGGGGCGGTGGGGAGATCGCTTCTCCCCGCAAAGCCTTGCTTCAAAAGAGTTCCGGGGGCAGCGCGAAGCGCTTCCCGCTGTCCCCGGACCTCTTCTGAAGCAAGGGGCGGTGGGGAGAAGCGATCTCGGGCGCCGCCTCTCCCGCCTCCCTCCCACGGCACACCAGGCAAGGTCTCACGGCACACCAGTGTGCCGCGGAACACCGGTTGGGAAACACTGACCTAGGGAATGGGTTGGACTGTGCCCTTAATTTTTAAGATCCACTGTATCATGTTTACTATTTTCATTTAAAAACCACAGATCTGCTAAGATACACCACTTCCTACCGGCAGAGGTGTGGAACCTTGTTCTTAAAAGTTCTGTTAAAAAAAACCACAAAAAACTTTTGGTACTAGTACAAAATAAGTACTCTGAGCTGCGGACTAACACCCTGTACTCAAGACATTGAAAATGTCATCATTTATTAATTAAAAAATACCAACGCAACCTCCCCCATTGTTCAATGTTGACAAAACAGAAATCAAAATTTGGATAAAAACATCAACAGAGTTTTCATTAATTCCACCAGCTGGAATCCAGAGTTCTACTTCAGGTGTAAAAACTTTTTTTTCTTTTTTTGCCACCAACACCCCCTCCCCTGGGAAACATCACAAAATGCTATTAAAAGACACCCCCCTCCCCCAGTTTCAAACATGATTTGGGGAGATCATGTTCAAAAATCACAAAGCCATGCTCTCTTGGGGGGTAGGGACCCTTTAATTTTATTACTCAAGGTAAGAAAAACTGCTTTTTCTTTTCCCGGAATCACATTCAAGAGAAATGAAGTTACCTCTTCTCCTCTGCAAGCCTTCCATATCGCCCATTTTCTTTAGTTTCTTCTTGGCACTGACCAACTGGCTGCTATCAAAGAAATGAGCTGATGGTGCTATGGTGGTCAGCAGTGCTGGCTTCTCAATGCTGGGTTGTTTCACAGGGCTACTGCTCTTCTCAGAGCACTGAGTAGACTCTTCCTTGGTGGGCAGAGGTGGTGGCGGCGGCGGTGGAAGAGGGGGAGGCATTGGGGCCTCATTAACTATATTGGGCTGAAGTTCATTACTGAGAAGAGCAGGAGGAGAAGGAATTTGAGAAAATTCAGAGATAACGCCACAGGGAGGTGAAGTATCTTCAAGTGGTCCTAAATTTCTAGACTCCTGGATTTGTAAAGGTTGTATTCTTTTTTCTTGCCCCACCACATCAGTCTGTGTAGTTACAGGTAGCGACAGACGATGATCAGCACATGAAGTTGAACTGGCCGTACTTTTTCTTCTTGCATGGGCCAGTCGAAGTCTGGTTGATTTGAGTATTACCTGTCCAGGATAGCGCTTAGGAGGGGGGAAATGAGTTAAAAGTTAGGCAAGCATCAAAAGCATGGTGACTAACAGCACAATTTTAACCCTGTAAACTCAGAAGGAAGTCCTACTGAATTCAATGGAGCTTACTCCCACGTAAGTTAGGATTAGGATTAGGGGTTAGGATTGCAGGCCAAGAGACTTATTACTGCTAACCTCAACTGTTCACATATAATTATGATTCAACCCTTTCAAAATTGTCAGGTTAACTTGTAAATTGAGAAACATAAACATGGGAATTAATTAATATGAAAAGAAGTATAGCACAATTTTTTCCTAAGAATAATTCCAATGTTCTTTTCTATTTTCTTGTGAATATGAATACAGTGGTGCCTCGCAAGACGAAATTAATTCGTTCCGCGAGTTTTGTCGTCTTGCGATTTTTTTCGTCTTGCGAAGCACGGTGTCGGGAAAGTTTTGGAAAAGCTTCAAAAATCACCAAAGTCTTTAAAAACCTCAAAAAAGGCTACCACACCGCGTTCTATGAGTTGCTCCTCGAAGTCAAGTCGCAACTGTATTAACGGTGTTAAGAAAAAGGAAACAAACTTGCAAGACGTTTCTGTCTTGCGAAGCAAGCCCATAGGGAAAATCGTCTTGCGAAGCAGCTCAAAAAACAAAAAACCCTTTCGTCTAGCGAGTTTTTTGTCTTGCGAGGCATTCGTCTTGCGAGGTACCACTGTACATAGTTTAATAATTAAGAAGGTTTGTTTCACACATTATATGGCAATGATATATGGTTGCCATCACATATGCAAACAACATGAAGCCATAGCTAATGCATGCTCTCTGGAACAAATACTTGTGTCAAAGGCGCTATTATTGGTGGACAATCATATATATATATGTATATGTATATGTATATGTATATGTATATGTATATGTATATGTATATGTAAGGTAAAGGTACCCCTGCCCATACGGGCCAGTCTTGACAGACTCTAGGGTTGTGCGCCCATCTCACTCAAGAGGCCGGGGGCCAGCGCTGTCCGCAGACACTTCCGGGTCACGTGGCCAGCGTGACATCGCTGCTCTGGCGAGCCAGCGCAGCACACGGAAACGCCGTTTACCTTCCCGCTAGTAAACGGTCCCTATTTATCTACTTGCACCCGGGAGTGCTTTCGAACTGCTAGGTTGGCAGGCGCTGGGACCGAGCAACGGGAGCGCACCCCGCTGCGGGGATTCAAACCGCCGACCTTTCGATCGGCAAGCCCTAGGCGCTGAGGCTTTTACCCACACCGCCACCCGCGTCCCATATGTATATGTATGTGTGTGTAACTTACGAAGCATCAGTAGAATGTCTACCTTCTTCCATTTACCTGTTTAAATGTTCGAAGTCTGTCCAGTGTTATCTGTCGTTCCTGAGTAACCCATGAGCTTTTTCTTTCTTCTTCAGCTTGCAACTGCTCCCTCTTCTAAGAATGAAAACAAAAAGATGAAAGCTGTGGGTTAGAAACACCAGGCTGGGAGGGACGGATTTGGATGGAATAACTTTCACCCACTACTGCTTAGTCCCAGTTAAAGTTAACTTTTTTCTTCCTTTCGTTAGAGGTTTTAAACCAAAACGTCTTAATCCAGGCATCATACACAGCCTGTCTTTGATGAGACAGGAAAATGGGATTGTTAATCTTTGTTTTCATTTTAATCACCAGGAGCTCAATGTTAAGTGTAAAAAGAGTTGCTTTTTGCCTTAGGAACCATAAATCTTTGGAACCTCCTGAAGAAACTTCACTACTTCCACACAACACCACTTCTTGTGGACAGCTTTCTTTTCTTTTCTTTTCTTTTCTCTTCTGCCCTCTGCCTCTTCTCATTCCAGTGCAGAAGAGATCTCCACACCAACCACCCATCAAAGTCCAGCTTTGCAAATTAAGGACAGGTACTAAATCTCTCTCCCCTCTCCTGGCAAGTACCTCAGCTGACCATGTTCTTCTCCTCCCCCTCCATCCTTCTGTCTCTCCCCTCCCCTTTTTCATGTCCCCAGACATCCTACTGCTTTGTCTCTCTCTCTCTTTCTTTCTTTCTTTCTCCTTCTCTCCACCCGCATTTCTGCTGTCCTGAGGTGATCTGCTCTTTGCCAAGCCCTTTTATTCTTCCTTAGTAGTTCTGCTCCTTTACAAAAATGGAGCTTATTTCAAACCATGTCCCAAAGTCATCAAATTGCTTTCTTCCAATTCTTGCCCTAACCCCTTCCCAAAGCCTTCCAAAAACAATATACCAACCTCCTTCTTCTTGACAATTTCCCCATCTCTTCTAAAGCAACTGGCCCTAGGCCCCAGTCTGTATTAATTGACTCCAATCAACCCCTTTTTAATGAACATGCTGATTTCCTTTTATTGTAATAAATTGTTTGAATGATACCCTGTGGTATTCTTTGACTCCATAAACTGCCAGGTATGGGACATGTTCTGATCAAAAGATCAGAAATGGCTTGTCAAGGTTGCATGTGAGAACTACAAGTTTACAGGCAAACTGTATACTTCATAACACCTGTCAGTTAGCTTCTAGCTAGCTGTAGGGTTGCAGCCATTTTTATTTTAAAAATGGCAGTAATTATCAAATACAGCATTCATTGCTTTGTAACAAGAGCAGGACCAGACCAGTCATAAATGCAAACTAGGACACCACCAGATACCAAAATTATAGGTGAACGTCCCTCAGCTGCATCATGACTTAGAAAGAGGCATAACCTGCATATTTAGACTCCTTCATGCTTTTAGAAGAAATTGGGATTCAATCTATGTTAGTGATGCTCCTAGGAATCTGTAGATAGTAGTTAGTGCAGATAAACTAATGTAGAGCATAAGATGACGATGATGATAAATTATGCTACAAACTGTTATTTTTCTGATGCTGTATTTTAATTGTATCTTATTATAATGATTTTATACGTGAGCTTCCAGAGTACAATGTTATTGCGCAGCTTTATATAAAATATAGCAATTTTTAAAAAACAGAATTGTGGTTAGTAACATGAAAAATGAAATCAATAAAATAATATTCTTGTCAGCTCTTGGTCATTTAAGATACAGTTCTTTACCCACTTACCTTGGACGAAGCGTCACTGAATTCAAAGTGACCTACTTCTGAGGAGATGTGCATAGGATTGTAGTGTTAATGTCCTATTACTGTCCTATTGTGTATTGCTCAGTATACAGTAACATTCAAAAGCAAGGCGGGGGGGATTTAAATTTGCTTAAGTTGGGGGGAAACCTTGAGCTGGAGGCTTATTTTAATATTAACCAAGATAAAACTCACAAACTGTGCAGTATGCTGTGACTCTTCTTCACTCTGAAAGTGCTGCAAGAATTTTTCATGATGTTTTGCAATGCAGATCTCCTGTCAATACACAAGATACTGTATAAGATATAATTAACAATTAATAATAATAATAATAATAATAATAATTTATTTATACCCCATCCATCTGGCTGAGCAGCTTCCAATCAAGTGTTAAAAACAATACAGCATTAAATATTAAAAACTTCCCTAAACAGGGCTGCCTTCAGATGTCTTTTAAAGATAAGATAGCTACTTATTTCCTTCACATCTGAAGGGAGGGCATTCCACAGGGCAGGCGCCACTACCGAGAAGGCCCTCTGTCTGGTTCAATTGAAATGATCAACAATAATCAAGCTAAGAAAGTATAAAATGAGTAGCACAAAATAATTTCAGTCTAAACACAGCAACAAATGTGAGGTTTGTTTTAAAAATACGCTTTAAGTATTTTCTGTATGTTTGTTTTTTAAAAACCTGGAAAAGCAGTCACTGGTAAGGTGTAGATAGACACAAAAGTCAACATCTAGACTAAAAGAAAGCCACAGTCAGAATAGGAAAGGAACTAGATATGCTTCGTAAAGGATTTTGTAAAGGGAATACATAATAACAATTAATCATGCCCTGGAAAAGAGTGTGAAACCTTATCCATGTTTATGCATTTCAGTGAGTTTGTTGCAAAGGAGATTTCAACACAGCAAAGTCAGAACTAGGAGTAAATGGGCAATTGTGTGGCTTTGGAAACTTGTGCAGTTTTCTGTATCTTTTTGTAAAGTGGGTCTGTGTTTGTGGAATCTATAGCCTCAACTTGACAGCCTTAAAGGTGTCAGTGAGTTTACAGAAACAATCCAGTGTGTGTGTATCTGCCTGTTTGCTTAATAGTTTAAGAAGTTTGCAACATCCATTATTGTGAATTCAAAGACAAATACAGCATTTATTTCATAACACATATATCCACTGGCTGCTGTGCTGATTTAGTTTACTACAGGAAAACCTCAATCAGTACTAAAATAATCTGCCAAACAGTGTGTACAATTTCAGCATTTATCTCCTATTACCAATTTATTTCAAAACTAGCTTTCCTAACACCAACAGTTGCTTGATACAATAAACCAAGACTACCAGTGCTTAGCCAGCAGGTGGTAGCATCGGGATAATAGGAAACTGTTTCCACAGTGATCCCATATCAACCTGCTATCAAGACATTATCAGGAAGGTAACATTACCTATAAGTAGCTGTTATAAAGGTACTATGAAAAGAATTACATTATCCAAATAAATACATAAATACACAAATACACACACACAAAATCTCTAACCATAGCAAAACAGACACCACCTATGAAGGAATTTCTAGCCTCCACACTATGAACATAAACCTGAGATCGCTGCATGCAGGAACAGGATACATGCCCACTGTGTATAGTAACACCAAATCACCACTTTGATGGTGCACCCCCTAAAAAAAAAGCTGAACAAAATATTCCTCCTCTCTCCACAGCACACAGCTTACAGAGGAAAGTGGGTGAAAAATTAAAAAGGCAATCCATGTGTGAAAATCTAGAATTTACTCCCTTAACTTTAAAATCTAATGATTAGTTTCTTTGGAAGAAAAGGCTGTTAAATTATGTCCATGATTTTACTTACAGCTGATCAAAACAGCAATATATTAGCTAAAACTTATAGTCAATTCAGGGAACAATAATATCACTTTTATAATGCAGCTTACGGCATGAAAGCAAGTACTTACAACTAGCATTATTTTGTGTACATCTCAACATATTTTAAAATAAAACATTTATTTTAAACTGCAGGCGATGGCCACCCTAGAGATGCTGCAGGAAATGGCTTTACCATGGTAAGGGCTTTCCCCACTCTCACCCACAGCCCCACAATTTTAGCCCTAATGTTTGAAAGTAGCATGTTGTCAATCAATATGCTTCCCAGTAATACTATGTTTGGAAATACCATTTTTTACACCCACATCCTGCTGCTAGAGGCCTCCCTTCCCTTCTACTACTCCCAGGTATTTTCTTTCCCATCCTCGTCCTATTCTAAATCTCACGTTTTATCCATTTAACTTCTGCTGCCCCTAAATCTTTATTACCTTTTTTCCCTATGTGTTTAACACAACACTTTGCTGTATGTAAAAAGAAATAGGTTCCTCCACATTAGGGACAAGGAGTTTAGCCTAGTTTGTTCTTGATACTCTATGCTAACTTTATACATGCAACAAAGCAAAGGAAAACACCAAAATATGTAACACACACATCACCAGTAGGCTGAAGTGACAAGACTCTTCCCTTTGTGCAATGTACTTTTCATTATTACCAAAACAAAACAGAAATTACTGTCATTACAGTGCTGGGGTGAGCTAAAAGGTTTAAACGTCCCTGACAAGAATGCAGGGACACGGGTGGTGCTGTGGTCTAAACCACTGAGCCTCTTGGATTTGCTGATCCGAAGGTTGGCTGTTTGAATCCATTTGGTGGTGGTGAGCTCCCATTGCCCTGTCTCCAAGCTTCTGCCAACCTAGCAGTTCGAAAGCACATCATTGAAAGCAGATAAATAGGTACAGCTGCAGTGGGAAGGCAAACAACGTTTCTGTGCACTCTGGCTTCCATCATGGTGTTCAGTTGCATCAGAAGCAGTTTAGTCATGGTGGCCAAATGACCCAGAAAGCTGTCTGTGAACAAAAGCCGGCTCCCTCGGCCTGAATTGAGATGAGCGCTGCACCCCATAGTTGCTTTTGACTGGACTTAACCATCCAGGGGTCCTTTACCTATTACCTTTTTACCTGCATTAACCCTCTACCTCACCCCATATGAACTGATCAACTAAGAAGAAAGCGCACACGACCAATGGTCTGATCTGATATAAGGCAGCCTCCTATGTTCCTGTGCCAAATAGGCAAGGAACTCTTTGCTGAGTAGTGAATGAATTAGTGTTTTACCTTTTTATTTCTGAGGTAGGCCTTCTTGGCTGAAATGCGCCCACGCCTTGCTTCTAGCTGGCGGACTTTCTGTTGCAATTTCTGTAGCTCTTCTCTTTGCAAGTGTATAGATGCTGCCATATCTTCTTTTTCGAGCATGGCTTCCATACTTTCATAGGTATCATAATACACTACTTCATCTCTTTTCTCTGTTAGAAAATACTAACAATTTTAATAATTTTAAACATGCACACACACAAACTACACAATGCAATAAAATCTAGATCAACCTTCAGTTGTGATAAACAGAATTATGTAGAAATAAATTGTTTAATGATATTGGAATGGGTCACAGAGTCAGAAGGGCTTGAGGGTTATAGTCACACACCAACACTGATCTAATACCACACAAAATCCCAACTATAGTGTGACCAGAGCAGGAAACAGGAGCAACTAATGGAAATTACATTAGAGGTGACTGAGACCAAGTCTACAAAGGTATTTTCTCCCAAACAGATATAAGGATTGTGGTGCTCGAACCGACTCCAAGTGTGGCAAACTCCACTCAACACGGAAGTTACATCTCTCATCACCCTCAATAATAAATTCAACTTATCCAACATTTTGACTCCAACTGGGACAATCTTTGATACCTCAGAAGGAGAAAGAAATCAAAAGCCAAACAGTTAAGGCCACAGTTCTGTGCACACTTACCTGGAAGTGAGCACTACTGAATACAGTTAGATTCACTTCTAAGTAAATATGCATAAGAACTGGAGTGGGAAATTTGTAGCCACAGGATAATCTCAATAACCAACTTGTACTACAGCTGCCTATGGCATATTGTTATAAATAATATACATGTAAAATGAATGTATGTCACCTGAAATAAGTCTTTTGATGCTTTCAAGTTGTGCTGTCAGCAGCAGTTCTTCACACTTCAAAATTTCAAACTGTACTTCATACAACTGAAGTTGCAGGTCATAATAATCAGATTCAAGTTGATCCAAATGGGCTATGGCTTCTGTGCCACCTTGTAAACTCTGCATCTGAACAGGAAATATATAATAGTTACAACAAGATGACCTATTAAATCTTAACTCTGTCACAAAACGTTTACAAAGCCTCCTATCAAGAAGTATTGTGACGTTATTGAGCTTTATGTGGGGGTGGGTGGGTTATTGGCTTGTTGTTTTTACAGTGGTACCTCGGGTTACATACGCTTCAGGTTACATACGCTTCAGGTTACAAACTCCGCTAACCCAGAAATAGTGCTTCAGGTTAAGAACTTTGCTTCAGGATGAGAACAGAAATCGTGCTCTGGCGGCGCGGCGGCAGCAGGAGGCCCCATTAGCTAAAGTGGTGCTTCAGGTTAAGAACAGTTTCAGGTTAAGTACGGACCTCTGGAATAAATTAAGTACTTAACCCGAGGTACCACTGTATTTTAATTACGTCTTTGTGATTTTATAATTTGAATTTATTCTGTCTGAATTTTATAATTTGAATTTAACCGCCCTGAGACCTCTGGTTATAGGGCGGAATATAAATTCAAATCAATCCATCAATAAAATAAAACAAAACTATTTAAAGGTATTTTAAATGAAAAAGTATACTAATACTACATAAACTTAGCTTCATATGCATCATCTAACTCTCCCCACTTTATTCAAAGGGACATATCTCCAATATGAGGATAATAATATTGACCTATATATATTGCAAGCCTTTTGGAATGACCGAAATGTACATAAGCAAACTGAACCCTTGATGTGAGCTGTAAAAATGCTAAGTGTAACTGTTGTTTTATAAAACTAAAGACAGCCACACAGAAATTAATTTTCACACCGAAAACCTTATTGGAATAAAACAAGGGCTGAAGAAAAACAGGACACTTTTTTTCTTCTGCCCCATGAAATACACCCTCACTTTTGGCAATTTTTCAGACTGCAGAAATGGGAACAACAGTATTTGTATAGAGGGAAGTCTCCCTGGCACACATTCAGGTGCCCCGATGCACATGATGTTCCCTTGGCACTTGAATTTCAGGCAGCAATGACATCACAGAACGGGCTCTTCACACCCCCCAAAGGCCGCTGCTCTGGTACCAATTATGGCAAAAAGAAAATCTCCCAAGTAAAACAGTGACACTGCCACACAATTATTTTCATTTCCCCTTGCTAATATTGTCGCACAACCAAACCTGACTAACTACATGATAGCAAACAAGGCAGCAGCTATATTTTAAAGAAGAAGAAGAAGAAGAGCCAAACCTGCTGTGAACCTCTCTGAAAAGGTAAGCTTTGGAGAAATCTATTGAAGAATTTTTTTGGGTTACCAAAAAAGCCCTATTTTCGCAGTAAGTGGAAAATGTTTGTCTGTGAACATGCAGTTTAGCCCTTAATGCAATGTCCTAATATTCTAGGTACCTACACTGTTTTACACATTTAGAGAACTACAAAGACTACTTGATGATTTGGCATTTCTGGCTGTCATCACAAAGACAAGGCCTGGCAGCTGAACTGCAAAACAGGATCTGGTATGCCTCCAAGAAAACTCTTCACTGTTCCTTTCACGCTTTAACTACCCATATTCTATGTATTTATATACAAGTGCTTAAAGGAAGAAACTAACTGTGCTCATGGGTTTTAAAAAAAATAGTTTAGATGTATTTGGTATCAAGTAAAATAGAAACTCAGTCTTGTTTTCTTTCCTTGCATCAAAAGTCTTTATCCACATTGTCAAATTAGGACCCAAAATCCAGCAGGGACTGCTAAATGATGCAAGCAAGGGACAAAAAAATCCCTAATTATGTTATTAACAACTTTTATGAGTGATAGAACTACAACAATGGTCAACATTATTTCAGTATGCCATTTTCAAAGAAGGGACCCAAATTTTAAGCACAAATAGTTAAAGCAGAATTATCTAGCAAAAGAAAAGCACACTGGAAAACATTTTAAAAAATGACAGCATATAGGACACTATGGCAAGATTGCAAAGTGTAACACAGAGAAGGAAGAGATATCAGAGAACCATCAGTTCCCTCTATATGGCATGACACAAGCCAGAGGTCCAAGAACCAGAGAAAATATCCAGGACCAGATTTAAAGAGGCAAGTAAAAGCTGCCAACAGAGGCAGATCCAAGGTGGGCCTGGAGTCCTTCCCAAAGTTATTTTAGAAGGAGCATTCATAGCAAATATCCAATGATCCATTCTCTGGATAATGTCTAGAAGTTCTCCAGTACCACCATGGGATGTGCCAAAGCTCAGCCCTTGAGGACGGGAAACACTCATCTACCCATGAAATCTAGGAAGCAGGAATAACCTTTTAAAGTACCTTTCCCCCAAGCATTGCCTCAGCTAAAGCATTGTCGATTTTATGCTTGGTAAAAGTGGTTGGAGTAGCCCATATAGACATTGCACATTTCCAATGAAGAGGCATTATTTGAACAGGCAGCAGAGGTAGTTGCAGCCCTAGTAAAAAGAGCAGTAACATTAAGGGGTGAAGGGAGATACTAAGCCTAATATGCTGTAGTGATTCAGGCACTGAACCAACTAGATTCTAGACCGTGTAGAGAAGGACATCTTTTTACCCAAAGTTATGGAATGAAAGATGAACAGAAAGTCAGATTTCTGAATTAGCTAAGTTATTTAGAGATATATTGTGAGAGCCCTTCAAACATCTGGTTAATGCCCTGGCCACTCTAATGAGAGAGTTTAGGTAAAAGGAAGAGAGCAATTTTTCCTGCAAACAGTGAAATGAGGAGTTCACTTTAGGCGGGAAGGGAGGCTCAGTTGGCAAAAATACTGAATCCAAATGAAAAGTGCAAAAACAAAACAAAACAAAACATCCTACCCACCCAAAACTATTGGGCAGGACCTCAAAAAATCCTCCTGTTTGTTCTGAGTTCCCAGAATATACTCGGTCTTGTGGGACAGGAGATTGGACTCCCTGTGCATTTAATGAGGCTAGTTCATTCTCCCCTACACCTTCCTCAGTTGATCTGATGTATTGTCCATAGGCTATCATGGGTGAAGGCAAAAGAGGCTGCCAAATGAGGGGAAACTAGATGGTCTTTTCCAGAGCCCCTAGGGGCAATATTGAATCTAAAACAATTAGGGCAGCCAGTGGATGTGACCAGAGTGGAACTTGGCCCATGGCAAAACTTTGATGCTGGAAATCAGGAGACCAAGCACATTTTGTTGGCTAGATTGTCGCAATTAAAATGCATCTTGTATCTTTAATCATTGTATTTCTCAGTTGGCAACCCCAGTATGCAGAAGGACTAGAGCCCAACTTGTGTATTTGATAACCTTGTAAGTACATGTTTGTTAAATAAATTTATGTTCAAGCATTACATATAATGCTTTTAAGAACATGCATCTTATCTCTGTATTCTGTTATATCATTTTGAGAGTTAAAGTTGCATTTTCAGTTGGACTGAAAATTTGTTTGTGAACTTTGCAGAACAGAATGTAACAACTTTGATAAGAAATAATACAAGGCTTAGTGACTTCATGGAAACCAGGAGTTACATATGTGTTTTTATGCGAATGATTTCCCTTAAAGAGGGTTAAGAAGCAAAGAAACAGATGTAGCCTAGCAGATGAGCGAGCTGGCAATGTGGACTTTGCTATAAACAAATGGAAGATGTTCCTATGCAAGCGTAGAGAAGAATATTGAAACAATTCAAACCTCGATCTTGGCAGAGATGAATGATGTTTTCACAAGCCAATTGAAATTATGGATTCTATGAGAAAGAACTTTTGTATGCCACAACACATGACTATAAAAACAGTTCTCTCTCAATATCAATTCAGAGGAAATATGGGGCAGAGACACCAATGGTGGAGAAGATCAAGTAGAACCGAGAAGGCCAACTGGAAGAAGCCAATTGGGAAATAGATTACAATTTGAAGAAAGGATTATAATTCAGAGAAGATTTAAAACTGCAGAAATCCAAAGAGGCAGCAGGTATCCGCAGGCCTCATGTTTTTCCTATTTTTTCTTACAGGATCTCTAGCTCAGGTCCTTGGGGTGTGTGAGTTTAGAGTTAGTGTGCTGGGTAGGGTAGTATCTTCACTCCAACTTCTATTTCCCTTTTCCTCCAGAGTCAATCTTCACAAGGGAAAGAACACCTCACTGGGTAAGTATTTTTAAATAATAAAGCTTTGGGCCTTCATTTTTGGTCTGTTTGTTTGTCCTTGTATTCCCTTGCAAAGGAAGACCACAGGCTGCCATCTTTGCATTCCCTGTGCAAAGAAATATCCTGAGCTATCTGTTTTTCAGGCCTGATCACTTTGACACACACACATAGCAATGCTGTTGTTCGAGGTTTACTATCCAATTCCATCCCCAAACTGTGTTGTAACAAGTTCCTCCCTCGCTTGAAGCAACAAAGGGGACCTGACCAGCAGGTTGTCTAGATAGGAATAAATGTGAATACCTTGCAGACTTGATGCAACACCTTTACCATCATTATCTTTGTTAAGACTCTGGGCAGTGAAGCAACACTGAAGGGCTGGGCTTTGAATTGAAAGTCCCTAGAATTTATTTTCAGCAAATACTATTACACAATAAGGATGGGTGTATGTTTAAGAATCCCCCTCTCCCAGAAGGCAAATGTTAAAACTTTGCAAAATAGCGTAAGCATGTCTCCTGCTATGTAAGAGCTAAAGACCAGGCACTCTTTAAGGATCCACAGTACAGTCTAATTAGATACAAGTCTCTTTGCAGTTAAGTGGGTACAGGATGGCAGCCTAGGCTTTGGTTTAGGTTTGGCACTGCGGGGCGGGAACAGGGTTCTTGTACCTTTGACAGCTGTATGGTGGGCATAAATTCAATAAGTTAAGCATTTTCTAGAATAGAAATACAATTAGGGGGAAAGCTTCACCATGACAGTACTCCCTCTTAATTTTCTATTACAGCCCTCCATGACAACCTTGTTGCGTTATGCCACTCCCCCCCTGCAACAATCTCTCAAAATTCAAAATGTACCACCGGTCCAAAAAAGAACTGGTGACAACCCCAATCAAAGTCCTTCCTGGAGACATGGGAAAATGGAAACTGTTGACCTTTGGGCTAACACCTTTCTTTTACAATGTGTTTTAACTACTTGTTTAGACAGGTGGGAAAGACCATCCTTAATCTGCAGAAAAAGTGTGTGCTGCCCATGGTGGCTTAACAATCCAGCCTCCTGAGAGGGCGAAAATGAAAGGCAAATAAATCTGTCCTTCGCCTAGGAAGGAAGGAAGGACAGTCTAATGCAGAAGTGCTAACTGGGTGCTTGGGGCTATGGGTGCACCAAAATTTGTGGGTGCCTGGTCCCTTCATGGGGAATTTTGTGGGTGCCCGGGCACCCAGGGAGTTGGGACCCATGGTCTAATGAATCAGCCTTGATCCAGAAAGGGGTATGTGTGCAAATTCTATGGCAATAATCATGGACAGGAAGATTAGGTTTCTGCTACCTGAAGAGCGCTGCCTCTTTGGTAATTGACGGAGGGTACCACAATCATATCCTGAAGCTAAGGTGGTGTTTGTTGACTTTGCTGATCAAACAGGACAGCAAGAAAATCTTCTCTTTTCCCCACCTACATTTGCTGCTTCATCAATCTGTCCTCAGTTAAAACCATTGGTGGAAAGGCAACAAGGATTGGAAAAGTAAGAAGGAAAGTAGACAGGGAAAAGAACTGGGGAGAGCTGAAACAGCAGTTTTTACATTTCTATCATCTGACCTGTCTATTAACAGCAGCCTTAATCCATGGTTATACTGAAGGCCTGTAGCTTGTCACCCAGAGAATCTATGTATATAATAGCATGCACATTTATTTAAAATAACTAATGCACTAATTCACAACAAGCATGTTGAAACAACTTGTGTGCTTCAAACTTCCAGTGAATTACTGAAGTAGTATTTACTTGCAGGGCTAGTTTTTGCAGTAATGCATGTCTGGTAATAAATTTCAACATTAATAAGCACTTTCTTTGATAAATGTCCCTCAAAATGTTCAAGAGAATGAGAATCAATTAAGTGAGAGAGACATAGGTCAGATTTTGTAGTGAGTCAGTTGTACAAATCAGTTCATGTTATTCCTTTTAAAATGGAGCTCTGGGGAAAAACAGAAAATGCTCAATATTTTTCTATACTGGCTGCAAATGGAGACTACAGTTTTAAATGATGCCATCAATGTGTATGGCCACTTCACAGAGTTTTATAATCAAAGATTGCTCCTGACTCAAGAGCTTATAAGCTGCATTTTGACAACATGGAGACAGTGGGAAGAAAAGGAAGAAAGAAAATGTGGCGAGTGTCACAATAATCTAATCAAAAACGGGGCACTCCATATTTCATATTTCATTTCATATTTCCATCACCAAAGTGACTTTTTACTATACAAGGATAACTTCCAAGTGGGGGGAAATATTCATACTATCTTGCCATTCAAATTTTCATATAAAGTAAATCACAATTAGCTCCTGCATTCTTGAAAGAGAAATACATTTATGTAAAAAAAAAATCCAGTCTCTCCAATAAGTCAATGTAGTAGCGGATTTTATATTGTTTTCAAAGCAGTTTGAGGTAACAAGCCATTATCTTTTTAAAATCTAATTACTCAAAAAAATTACCTCTTCTTTTAACGCATGTTTCTTCTGTTCCAAACAGATTTCTTTTGCTCTCATAAGCTGCAAAGTCTCCTTAGACACTGCATACTGAAGCTTTTCCATTCGTTCCACTGCTGCTGCCCAAGCTGCCTTACCAAACTTTTTCTGGTCTGCTCGCATTCGATCGTATACAGCTGTAAAAAATAATTTTTTAAAAAACAGCAGGAACAACAGGAACATTAATTAACAGGAACAGACTAATGTATATGTTAGAAGTTTACAAAATCCCTTTTCACTTTGTTAGCAGCCTATAGCAGCAGTAATGTCAAGATCTTTCAACATCAATATCATTTTCAGTCCGAACATACAAGTATTCAGTTTACAAATCGAATCACAAACCAAGAATGTTTTTTAAAAATATAAGGGATCTCTCCAAATTTAGTGTGAAATCTCAATACCTCAAGACTGAGAAAGAGTTGAGTAATTGGGAGGCTATGAACACAAGAAAGAATCAGACAGAAGGATGCATAAATGAAAATCAGGGCCTTCCAATCTGAGAAATGGCCAGTACAGTATAAGGCACAGAAATACTATCCTAGGAGGGAGGGGGAGAAAGCAGAGGTGAGGAGGAAGGAAATGACTCAATTAAAGCCTATGCCAGTCCCTTTCCCTACTGCTATGAACCATCGTGTAAATGTTTTTGAAGATTTTGAGGAAGGAAGGAAACTATGTAAGATTCTCACTTTTCCAAAATGATTAAGCTTCAAGAGCCAAGAACCAATGCATCAATCCACATTCTCCATATTGTACAATGGACTTTGTACAAAAACAGCACGACTGTCTCCATGGAGGCAGCCCGCCATCTTTTTCCATACAATGTTCCTGGGAGATTCTCCGTTACAATGCAAGGAAAAATATGGCTGCCTCCCTGGGTACAATACCATCTCTCTCACTCTCTCTCCTTCTTTCCTTCTTTCCTTAAACAAAATCATGTTCCATTGCTAGCATGGGCAACACTGGACCCATTTTAATGCATTTTTTCTGGCCATCCCAGACAGCTAGTATGTGGGTTTATTAAAATAATAATAATAATGTAATGTTAGACTTCATATTGTAAGTACTTAATGAAAAGAATGTGCTAAACCTGTACTGATTTTTATAATCCACATGGAAGGGCAGATTTAATCTACAGATGAATACACGTGAAAAGTGACACAAACCAGATGAAGTCTTATTTGTCCATCTCTACTAGCAATTCATAAAAAAGCAATGACAGTGATTTGAGACAAAGTAAGAAGGTGCAGCTATAAGACCTTGGATCATGTGAATAAGACTTCCTAGTTCTTAAAAGGCCTTTACTGGAAATCATGAAGTAGTAAAACTCCATTACCTTTCTGTGCTTTTGCTGTTATTTCAAAATATTTAACAGTGAGGTCTTGAATAGAAAGCACAGCCATGTGGGCCTTCCGCTGCCAGTCTGCATCTTCTTTTTGTAGACTCTCAATTCTTCTAGGTCCCAGGTAATCATTCTCTATGGATATCTGAAAATAGATCAGTCCATTATTATCCACCATCAAAGCTTAAAGGCTACACAGAAAACTTCAAAAAGTTAAACTGTTTAACAATTATGATATAGATGAAATAATTTAACTGGGAAGGACAGATGAATGATCATGTGCTTTCCGGAACTGCTTAGAAATAACTTAGGGAGATAAATCTCACAAGCAAATGTTTCCTAAATTATTTGCTCTTAGCTACTAATCTGAGTAAGCATTACAGCATGGGTAAATCTTCATAAATTTGCATTGGATCGAAGCATGAGAAAGGGACTTTTTGAAGTGACAAGCTCAGTCACAGCACACTCATTTACTCTGACATCTGTTTTTTACCAATGGAAGGACTCAGGTAATAGGATGAGAGCCATCCTTGAGATAAAGGTTTGGAAAGGTGAACAATACAGCTTCTTGCTGAGAATTCACAAGCAATCAAAGCTCCCACAGAATGCTACTGTCTGGAAGGAGAAATTTCCAAGACATAATTTGTACTGAGAGGCACTCTGCAAATCAAGTATCACATGAGCAGTTGCACACAAATCCCACCCTACTTCAAATGAAAAGCTTTTGTGGGGGTCTGCAATTGTAATATATCACTTTTCTGTGGGGAGAGCATGCTTAACTTGGGCTGTTTTTCCTCACAAATGAAAATGATTAGCATGTTACTATGGATAACATGCCGTTCATATATTAAAAGCGTATTTTGGCATATCTCCCAATCTCTACCCCTGAAATGATCTAACTGATTTGGTTTGAAGAGATTTATAAAAAGGCATATTAGGAAAGCAATCTTGCTCATTAAACACAATTATACCCTGTGTTTCCTATCCTTAGAACACTATAAAAATGTTAGTGTGCCTAAATTTTTAACTATTCTTTGTACAAAGGACAAGAGCAAAATGAAACATCAACTTATCTTTGCTTTAACAAAGGTTTTATTACACTGGTAGGTGAATTCGCGCTACGAAAAATTTGATTGGCTGGTTCACAAAGTACATATGAAATGTGCTTGCATGACTATTAAAATTTAAATCCAACTTCTAAAATGGACTCTGGTGTCTCCTACATGATTCCAGTCTTTGTTCAAAGAAAGAGGCAACTGCGGGAAAATACTTTGAAACATGTAGGCCAGTGGTTTTCAACCAGTGTGCCCTGGGGTGCCCTGAATGATAGTCAGGGGTGCCATGGGCAGCACCAGCCTCTTAACCTCTTTCCTTCTCTCCCTCTTCTGATGCCCTCCTGCGTCTCTGCCTCCCAAAGGCTTGCACGACTGTTTATTGCAGCAGCCCTGGCTGCAAGCTCCCTAGGCAAATGGTGCCTCTGGGGCTGGCCAGGCCCCTGTGGGGCAATGTGAGGAGGCACCTCTCTTTGGGGCGGGGGGGGGGGCTCAAAGACCAGGGGTGGCAGCTGCGGCTGCTCAAAGAACACCCAAGGAGAGGGAAGAGGAGAGGAGGCTGAAGGAACACTCCAAATGGGAGGGTGTTCAAAAAAGGGTGAGAGGCTGCTAGCGCTGCAAGCAAGGGGTGACATAACTGGGTTCCTGAGTCCCACAGGGGTGCCGCAGAAAGAATGTAGTTGGTCAAGGGAGCCGTAGACTCAAAAAGGTTGAAAACCTCTGATGTAGGTGATTAGCTACTAAAGCACAGTGCCCTCCAGATGTTGTTGGACTATTACCCCCATTAGCCACAGTCAGCGTGACCAGCAATTAGGAATGATGGGAGTTGTAGTCCAACATTTGGATAGCACTGTATTGGCTATCCCTGTGCTAAAGACTCAAAACCCATAGTTGAAAGGTAGAGCTAGAGATGTGTTCCATCTGTCCCAGGCAAACTTTTTGAAAGATAACATAACCAAGCATACTGAAGAACAAAGAACAGGCTCTGCTGAAGTGGAATCAACACTCAGACCCTGCTTGTGGGCTTTCCATAGGCATTTAGTTGACCACTGTGAGAACAGGGTGCTATATGAGATGGGCCAATGGCCTGATCCTGTAGTGGCTGTATGCAAATGCAGACAGGTAGGGAGTGAAACATTTGCATATATCAAGAGTTCTCATATCTGAGGCAATGAGGGTAAACATAACTCAAATGAGAAAGAGGGGGGTACTTCACTGCTCAGTCCCTTGCCCTGCCTTGCATAAGTCTTTGCTCTAAACAGGCACCTACAGCATGAAGCTTCTTGTGTCAAGGCACTCAGGGGTACACTCAGGATGACATTAGGACAAAGCACTTCAGTAACACCTCAGGTGGTTAATGCTTCATTATAAGAAGAGTGGTCCCTGCCACCTTGTAGGAGGCAGTCATTAGATCAACTCTAACAACATCAGAAGTCCTTCTTCGATGCAGACTATTGTAACTATAAATATCAACAACTATCAGCCAGTCACAAGTTTGGGGGATATTTGGGGATTCTACAGGTGGTAGAGCAGAGCTTTCCAAACTCTGTTGCAACACATTAGTGTGTTGGCTGCAGTGTGTAGGTATGTCACGCAAACGCTTCCCGCACTCCTCCCAGGACTGGAAAGGGGTTAGTTTAACCTTTGGTTTGCTAGTAAAACTGAATTAATGTGTCATGAAATGATGCATGTCTAAAAAGTGTGTCACCAGCATAAAAAGTTTGGAAAGCTCTGTGGTAGAGGATCAATTTTAGCTTTTATGACCACCATTAACTATCTGGACCCATTCTGATTTGGCACCCAAACACAACTATATTTTTACACAGCAGGTCAGTGGCTTTTTATTCTTCAAGACTTCTAGTCACTGGCCTGTGGTTCTGCCATTTTCAGATGTTCACCTGACTTTTACTAGATCTCTATTCTGCTGCATATGGCTGCTGCCACCTGTACTGTTTTTATTGTTTTAACTGGGCCCACTTTTATTCTAAGTCACTCTGGATATTTTAACAGGAAAGCAGCACAGAATTTAGATCAATCAATAAAAGCAATAAAAATACGGAATTCCAAATAAAAAATTCCAAACTCTCCAAATTCATGCCCTAATTATAGATCAGATAGATAAGACAGGCAGAACATACAAGTAAATATGGAACTCAAACTTTCAAGAATTTCAAACAGAACCATCACAAGGTGATTTGAAAATGACCAAAATTTCTAAAAGACGAAAACAGATTATGCATAAACACATGTAACACCTTTTAAGATTTATATTCACTTTATCTTCTTCATTATTTTTCAAAATAAATAAATTTAAATTATAAGATTTATGTTAATGTGTACCTTTATCTGCTGTCTTCTGAGCATTGCAAGCTCCCTCATATCTCGGAATGGCTGCAGTAAGTACTGATAAAGTTCTGTAGTTGCTTCAGCAAGAATGCTATATGCTTCATCTTCCATTTGATATAGTTCAAGCAGCTCCACCATGCTTTCGGTATTCTTGTGTTTCTCTAGGAGCTAAGTAAAGAGAAAAAATAATACATCAAAGCATAAACACATTTTCCTGCTATCAAAATGCAACCAGATATAATGACTAATGTTTTCAAGTTTTGTATTCTGATACCTTGGTGAATAGCACCAGTATCACTTAATCCTACTTTCTCTCTTTTGCATAAATTTATAAAACTAAAAAAAGGGTTAACAGGGCAATCCAACTTAAAAGTAAGCCAGACTGAATTCAATGAGGCTAGATAAGTGTGGTTAGGATTGCAATCTAAAATATCTGATCTCCAATTTTATGTCAAGCATGTAGGAAGTACACAGTGTTAGGAAGGCATTCGAAATCATGGTCTAACAGAATTAGAGGAGTCTGAAACAAGCAAATCTCTGGCTGGGCTCAGGCTGGGCTACAGCGCCTGAAGTACCTCATCCTGTCCAAGTCAAAAAATAAGCTGGCATAAGCCCCCTAAAAGGGGTCTGGTGGCACAAGGGGAGACTTACTCCTATTCCAAACACTTTCCACTCAGTCGTGACCTAGCAACCCAGTGGAAGTTACAATGGCAAAAAGGGTAGAGTAAGTCATATTTTACTTTAAAGGCTTTGTTCCCCTCTGCCAGGCTTGGGCTGGCTCAGCCAGCAGTAGCTTCACTCCTAAATGGTTTCTGAAATAGGGGTAAGTTACACCAGCATAATTTATCCCAGTGTAAATTACACTGGCTTCCTTTGGACTGTTATGCCCGTATATTACTTACAATTCTATCTTTAAGATTTTTTTTATTTTTTTTTGTCATTTAGCAAAAGACATACCATTAGGGACATGGGTTGCTCGGTCCCTGCTCCTGCCAACCTAGCAGTTCGAAAGCACGTCAAAGTGCAAGTAGATAAATAGGTACCGCTCCGGCGGGAAGGTAAACGGCGTTTCCGTGCACTGCTCTGGTTCGCCAGAAACAGCTTAGCCATGCTGACCACATGACCCAGAAGCTCTACGCCGGCTCCCTCGGCCAGTAAAGCGAAATGAGCGCCGCAACCCCAGAGTCGTTTGCGACTGGACCTAATGGTCAGAGGTCCCTTTACCTTTTATACCATTTATACCATTTCTACACTGCACTATGTTTTTTGTTCTTTCTGTTGTTATAATAATAATAATCCATCCTGCTTTAGAAACCTCTGAAAACTAATTTTATGTAGAAGTATATAATATCTGTTCTGCATCATTTCTATGTTCTCTACAATTTTATGTTGAAATCTTCCTAAAGTAGGAAACCTAGTTTGATAGAGAAGTAGAAACTAAGAAAGCCAATTTGTTTTTTCTAAACTGTCCAGAGCTTGAAGATGTATAGTTTGTCTGTAAATATTTAAGACGTTGAAATATCTCACTGCTAAACAAGCAGTAAAATATAAAAATACATAGCATGATCTACTCCCAAGAAGGTACAGCTGCCCATGCACAGGGGGGCTGCCACAAATCTTAACAGAGTGCGCTGTTCGCACTCCCATCACCTTGTGGGTGCGGACAGATTTGCCACATGAAGTACACTAAACATGAGTAATTTGTACCAGGCAAGGAGCTGTGGGAGGCGGACAGAAGCCTCCCATTCCCAGTAATGGCTTGGCAGATTGCAATGTGGGGGAGGGGAAGAAGTAGGGAACTGGGCTCCACTGAGTCCCATGCTGACCTTTTTGTGCACCTGCAGCTGTGCTCATGAAGAGGTGGATCATACTTTTAGATTAGAATCAGGAAGAAAATTGAAAGCACATTTCCCAACTTCCAAAGAATCCCAGGAACTGTAGTTCTGTGAACTGTTAGTGGTATATTACAGCTACCAGGATTTCTTTTTGTGGGGGCAGAAGGCTTTAAATGTATGCAGCCCCAGTTTTTCAGAGGCCAGGTCTACCCAGCTCAGTAGACTCTGCATCCAGGCCTCTCAATCAGGAGATGTACTACAGCAGATATTCTGATATGCCTTGATGTTACTTATTTAAAAGTAAAGTGGAAAGTGTAGGTATAAGGGGAAAACAATGTCCATGCCCTTGGCAGCTTTTTAATGGTTTTACAATATGTAATCAATATACAGAACTTAAAGAACTTTCATAAATGCTTACAGTGAAAATCTTTTCTGGACAGTCATTAAGCTAAATGATGCCAAGATAAGCATCTGATGGAATTAGAATATATATTCCAAGATAAAAGATGCAAGAAGATACTTGCATTTATTATTTGCACAATGTTTCTTTTATATTCTTCAAAGAAATCTCAATTAAACTAAGGCTTCAACTGACAGAACTGCCTGGCTAGCTCTGCTCACACAGCAGGGCTTTTGTCTTTTGGCTCCTCCCTGAAGCATAAGTATCCAACATCTTATGACATACTACTTGTGAAATTAAGTAGAGTTTATAAACAGCTTGCAATGTGGTGTAAAGGTAGAGGGAAATTGGGACAAGGGAGTGGGAATTAGGCAAAAGTGTGCTGTGTACACAAACCCTCCACAGTTGTACCCACTGAATAAAGTAATAATAATAATAATAATAATTTATTATTTATACCCCGCCCATCTGGCTGAGTTACACCAGCAAGTTATGGCCTTAGGCTATTATATGCTGCAGTACTAAGTTTTAAAACGAAAGACAAGGCATAAAGAACTTCTCTAAAATATGCAAGGCAAATTTGTCAGACCAGCACACATTTTGTTTAATATGACATCTGTCTGACCCACATGGCAGCAACACTCCTGAGACATTATTCATTACTTTTTATCCCATCCATCATCCATCCCTCCATGGAATTTAAGAGTGGCTTTCTACCCTCACAAAAATCAAGGCAGAGGAACAGAGACATGTCTGATGCTATACTGTAAGTTTAATACCGGAATAAATATTTTAACCTGGATTTTATACGTTCCAACCCTACTTATTACCCACTTAACATATTCACCACTTGATTTGACCACCTTGCCTAGGTAGACAGAATGTAGATTATACTATGCTCTCAAATACCCTATTATATTACTATTTGTAAATATCAATTATTTTTCACCAGTAGCAAAAAGTAGACATACAGTGCTATCTTGGTTTAAGAACAGCTTAGTTTATGAACAACTTAGATTAAGAATGCTGCAAACCTGGAAGTAGGTGTTTTGGTTTGTGAACTTTGCCTTGGAAGCAGAACATGTTCTGCTTGCTGTTGAGCATGTTCCATTTGTAAATTGAGTCCCCTGCTGCTATGGGAAAGCAAACCTTGGTTTAAGAATGCTTTGGTTTAAGAACAGACTTCCGAAACAGATTAAGTTTGTAAACCAAGGTACCACTGTATATGGTAACTAAAACTGTGAGATCACAAGCTTGCATCACAAAATAAAGCAAGGGATGTACACACTTAAACCATACCCCGTAACCCTCCAGATCAGAGCTATCCCACTTCTGACTGCACAGCTGGATATGATGCAAGAAATTTTCCTCCGTTTGATTTCCAATGAGGGGGTATTAAAAATCCCCACTATATTGAGGACCACCAAACATGGGATATAATGTTAGCACCAAATCACAGCACACCAAACCTCCAACAGGAAGACCATCATTCAAATAAGACATATGACACGGAGTACAACTCTCTGTCCCTGTGTTACAATATTTAGAGCTGCAAAGGAGAACTTTGCACAAAACTGTCCTCAGAATATTCTGGGACATTATTAACACTTCTCTACCTAGAACCCTGAGAAGTACTCCTGACTCAGGACTCTCTCAACACAAACAGCCAACACCCCACTCCACAACTAGGACTGCTAGGCTAAGCAGAAGTATAACTTCAGAATCCTCTCCCTTGTCTTCTACCTACCCCTTTTGCCATACAGTGGTACTTTGAGTTAAGAACTTAATTCATTCTGGAGGTCCGTTCTTAACCTGAAACTGTTCTTAACCTGAAGCACCACTTTAGCTAATGGGGCCTCCCACTGCCGCCGCACGATTTCTGTTCTCATCCTGAAGCAAAGTTCTTAACCTGAGGTACTGTTTCTGGGTTAGCGGAGTCTGTAACCTGAAGCGTCTGTAACCTGAGGTAACACTGTATATGAATATCAAATCTTGTCTGAAATGTACTGCTCTAATGCTGTTCCCTATTATCAACAGCAGGAAGCAGTGTCTTTCAAGCAGAGGAGAGGCACTTATTCTCATACAGTTAAGCTCCCAGTTGGCAAAGGCCAAGCACTCTGTCCCCAACCGTCACCACTGCTGGCCAAATACTCATCAGCAGTTTTGCTTTAGAGGAACAACTGCATGCATGTTCTGGATTCCACTGCAACCCCCAAGGGATGGATACACGGTAGATACAGAGATATGTAGATAAACACACACACACACACACACACACACACACACACACTGCATTCCTCTCCTTCCCACATGAGAGAGGGGAGCCTGAGGCATAAGTGCTGTCTAAACATACAGGTGGCACCACGCCCTCTGCTCCCACCCACGTACAGCCACTGAGTATCTAGATTCAGGAACGATGAGCGCCGGCTGAGGTCTATTGCTCATTCTCCCTGTCTCTCCCTTTGTTCTTCACAATCTCCCCCACAGCTACAGGATGAATTTTACACCCTGTTCTATGCAGGTCCCAAACGAGATCTACACCATGACCAACAACAGTGACCAGGATGTTCCAGTTATTCCTCCTCCAGTTATTCCTCCTATATCTTAGCAAGCTCAATGAGCGACCGTCATGCAACAGGCAAAGTTGTTCCTACCAATGGCGTTCCTGAGATAGCTCAGGTGGTAGAGCCTAGTAGCATGCTTAACCTCAGGGTCATGGATTCAAGCTCCACGTTGCAAAAGATTCCTGTGTTGCATGGGGTTGGATTAGATGACCCTCATGGTCCCTTCCAACGGTACGATTCTAAGCATAGGGCTGATGCTGGTGCCATGAGTGACACTGAACCTAATATGCTGCTATCTGTTCAGCCACTGTCCAAGGCACAGAAAACTTGCAAGGGTGACTGATAGACATGCGTCTCTTCAGAGTACAT